AATTTTTCTTCACAATCTCACCTAATCCTAGATCTGTAAGATTTGAGTAAGTGAAAGAAGAAGGCTAACTCATTTATATAGGCTAGGGTTTCATGTGTTGGCAAATCAATTTTGGGCTTTAAAGAAAACCCACAACTGTTTCCTTTCTTTTCATTTTATTTAATCTAGGTTTCTAAATTTTATTTGAAAATAGGGTAGAGGTGTTTTTACGTGGATTTTATTTATTTTGGGCTACAAGAAAAACTCACAAACATTTGAAAGTTGGTCCAATAAATTAAGTTGAAATAAAATATATTTTAGTTACACTAGCCCATATAAATATTGTTCATTTATATTCAATCTACTAAATTAATGAAGCAAGTTGTTAAATAAATATAATATTTTTCATTAATATGCTAATAATCCTAAATGAATTTCATATTTTAGCTGAGTGATTAACTTTTAAAAAATTACAGATTTTGTGATTTCCACGAACCTATTACAATATTATCCTCAAAGTAGAAACAATAATGTCTAAGGGTAGAGAAACTACAAAAACTCGGTTTCTATAGTCTATTATTTAAAAAACAAACCTCAATTCATCTTTTAGTATGAACGGGCTTGAATTGATGTTGATTGACATTTACTCACATCCTAGTAGCCAATGTTGCATTAGTAATAATAATAATAATAATAATAATAATAATAATAATAATCATAATTCGAACTTGTATATGCTGTAAAATATGTACGGCATATATCTCTAATATGTAGCACTATATAGTGCCACTACTTTGTTGGAGTCAAGAAAATATTCAGTACTAGAAAATTGACCTATAGTTGCGGTAAAAAATAGTCATAGTTGTAATATCACGGAAAAACATATGAAATCATTTATGTGGAATTTCCATGGTGACTTTTTTTAATTTTTAGCATTTCTGTGACAATATGTTACAGAATAATTCTAGCTGCAACAAAATTTCGTGAATTTTTTAAGATTGTGAAATTTTTCGTGACAATAGGTAACAGAATAATATCATTATATTTCCATGACTTTATATTATCAAAAGTTCCAACAATGTCGTGACTTTATATTTTTTTAAAATAATATATAATTATATAATAATTATTTTTCAATGCAATCACACACCATTATTATTTTCGAATTAATCCGAACATCGTAAGTTAACCGCTGCCACACTATTTTTCAACTTAATATGCAAGTCGGAAGTTATTGGCAGAATTTGGACCAGTGACTTTATTATAGTTATTAAATACCTATCACGACCTATCTCGTCATAGCTATCTAGTTTAAAGTATTAATTTTTATTTGTTATTATATTTTAACTGTATAAGTATTATTGATTATAAATTTATCTTCTAAAAATATATACATATTTATTCAATATATCATCACGAATTTTTAACAAAAATTTGACTTTGTCTATTTAATATAAAAGAATATTAAATCTATTTAACATATGGAGTATATTTTTTTTAGTATCAAGACTTCTTAAATTTTATATTATTATTAGTCAATCAATTATTTTTATTATTATTATTTTTTATACTCAATCATTTTTTTTTTAAAAATATATCATATAAAATTTTAAAGTTAACAATAAATTTAAATCTATTATCAATATAGCTATATATAAATAGTTACATATTTGGTTAAGTTAATATTTGCAATAAATTAAATATATATTAATTTAAAAAATAAAAATTAAATAAAATTATTTTTAATGTAACAATAAATAATTACAATGTTTTTTTTATAAAAGTGAATATAAAATTAAGATTTTAATAATATTTCGGTACTTATATCATGATTTTAAATAGTCATGAATCGATAAAAAAAAAATATATTCAATTACAATGCAAGTAAAACAATAAAAAAAATTGAAGATAATTTTATTATTATTTTTTATTTATTTAAATAACTACGAAATGATAATTAAAAAAAAAGTTATAATTGTTTTTGTTACTTATGTTGTGATTTTTTTACTTTTGAAAAGTCATAAAAATTATACCATGACAATATATGTAATAATTTAAAATATTGCAAGTATTTTTAATATCTTTTTCCGCAACTCAAAATAGTCACGAAAAAATCTCGTAACAATTTTTTTTACAAAATTGTCAAAAGACACGGAATAGAAATATTGTGGGCATTTTCGTTACATAAGCCGTTACATTAAATAGTCACCGAAAGTTACTTGTAACGTTTTTTTGCAAATATTACCCACGGAACAATCAAAGCAAAAGGTTGTAACATAAATTTGTCACAAAATTACTCTCCGTCACTTTTAATTGTCGCGAATTAAAAATCTGCGATAAATTTTCGTAATTATTAATCTTTTTTCTAGTAGTGATTCTTCATTTCTTTTAAACTGTGGTTGTTGATAAACGTGTATTATTTCTTCGTATGTTTTCCTAGAAAGATAATATATATAACCCCAGCCATATATATGTTTTTGTTAGTACATAGAAATTTAATTCATTAGAAAAAACACAATAATTATAATTATTAAGGTCGAATGAATTAAGTAATTTTGGTCAAAAATGTATATATATATATATATATATTAGTTTATAACTTGTTGTAATTGTCCAACATACTAAATAAAATATTGTATGACAGACGTAAATGGTTTTATACCATTGTAGATAAACTCCAAATTTTTATAATGTATTTATCTTAAAAAAAGAAAAAGAAATGTCTAATGTTCTCCTACACATTACTAAAATAAATAGCTATAATAAGGTTAAGCTTGAGTTTAAGTAATAATTACTAAAAATTTGAACGACTGAAAAAAAAAAGTAAAAAAATATATATTATGGCAAAGGATCCCACATAGATTTTACTACACTTTCTAGATTTTGTAAAGTAAAGAAAAAAAAAAAAAAAAAAAAAAAAAAAAAGCAACAACAACAACAATGAACCACTCACACCCGAGATCCTTTGCATTTTTAAGTTCAACTTTCTACTGTATGGTCTTTCAATTGTCACAAAAATAAATCTATAACTCTTTTCGGAAAAGCTTAAGCTTCAACACACCTTGATCTCAAGAATTTTTTTAACGGCAATAAAAATAAAATTAAATAAAATAAAATCATGTGGTCTATCACTCTTATCATGATACAAAATGAATACTAATAAGATATCTTTTCCCTTGTGTCTGAATGACGAAAATCATATACCTTTCTCCTCACCTCCTTGAAAGCACCCGAGTACTCTTATAGATCATTATTTCTAGGTTAGAAAACGTGACGGAAAGGTATACTGGTTTATAAAGCGACACAGTTTTTTGGTATTAGCTTAAATTAATTTTTGAGTTCAAGGTAAACCCAAACACGTATTTTATTAATGACTAGAGTCCCCATTATATAAGCCGTACAAAAAATACTTAAAAAAAATCTCACAAACCGTTTCATGGAAAAAATCACACGCATGTCAGAAAACTCTCACGAAGGATTCACCATAATGCGACCATAAGAACAGTAAAATACCTTCACAAATGCAGAATATAGCGATAAATTTTTCTACCTAAAGAGAAAGACAGTGCAACACTAACTGTAGAGTTACTTCACAAGTACAAATATAAAAAAGTGATGGACGGTTCAGATCAAATCCTTATATTGTACGGTGGATATTAAAGCCTACAAGGTAATGAGGCTCCATAGGTCGGGCTATGTCTCTGGACATATCAAAATTTCCAAATAGTATAAAAACTTCATAATGAATAAGGTATCTTCATGGAACGGTAATATTTGTGTGAACTCTTCATTTTTGCTTATTCCGGTAGATACTCTATTTACTCAAATTCTCATTGTGGGAATGTTGAATTCTTAAATTTCGCAGACACAAAATTCCCTTTGGCTTTTCTAATTAACTTTTTTCATGTAATTTTAATCTTTTAATAAACCAAATTTCCTCTAGCCACATTCATTGTTTGGGTAACTTCATTCCTACGATTTTCGAAAATTAATATTTTCAACTTAGTTCTTGGTAAGTTAAGGCCATATTGTATTGAAGGTAATAGCGGGTATCTTTTATTTTTATTTTATTTTTTTTTAAACTCTAGAAACACATTAAAATAGCATTAGAAAATTTAGCATAAATTATATTGATCTTCCAAATGTTAAATCGTGTTAGCCAGGATCAATTTGTTATCTTGCTAATTCTTTGTTAAAGAAAGAAATTAAAAAGTTTTCATTAAATGTATACATGGCTACACTGCACTTGGGGTAAAAAAAATTCAGCCAAAAAAGTTGTGTTTCAATTAGCTTTAGTAACCATTTAATCCATCTCTTTTCATCATATCTCAACTGGTTAAATGGATAAACCAACTTTCAGCCTCATTGGAGATCATTAGAGTTTGTCCTATGAGAACAGAGAATCATTTTTATTTTTTTTGTGATGAATGCCCAATCAACTATTTTGTTGTGTTAATGTTGTCACTTTTGAAAATGAGATTATCTCGGATGAATAGATGATTTTGCAATAAGGCACCCTATTAGAGAGTGATATATACCAAATTCATGGATATGTATTTAATAATTTATTATATTATTTTTTTTGGATCGGAAAGATCATTCATGGATATTTATTATTAATATTGGTATTGTGGTTTCAACATTAAATAGTACTTTTCTCTAATGCATTATATTTTGATGGTTGTGTAATCATTCAATCTAAACGCTGAATCAATGAGTTAATTTCAAAAAATCATGCGAATAAACTTCAAGGTTTCTTTTATTATTATCATTTTTACAGTCCTTTACATCCACGTATGGTAATTGCATAATAAAAAGAAGCATGTAGGAAGAGAAGACAACTTTGAGAAAAATAAAATTGCAGATTGAAAAAAAAAATGAAAAAGAAATGATTTTAAAATTTTTATCATCTGAATTAACTTGTCTCAATCGATTCTCGTGTGGTCAAGTAGAATACATAATAATGAAAAGTATTTCAAATTTGTAATATCACTCTTCAAATAGTTATCAAAACAGTCCAAACAAACACAAATTTCATTTTACTTAATTTACATTGCAACAATAATATTATGAACTAATGGGAGGTGTTGATAAAACAACATTAACATGACATGAATAATTTACACTAAATAAGTTATACAAAACTCACATTCTCCTCAACCTTTCTTAACCATAAGCATTATTTTACAAAAATTATCTAGATATAGTGAACCCAAAATAGGCAACCTTCTGAAATCCTATTACCTGAAAAATCAAAAAAAATTAAGTGTTACGTGATAAAATGAAGTAAGTGAATGATAAGCCAAAATCTTTAAAGTGTTTTTAATGGTTTACCTTATCCCATCTTCAAATCTTCAACAAAGACATCGCATAATATAAATGTCATGACTTCATTTATTGATCGGAACTTTTTCCCCATAATAGTATGAATGTAATACTGCAACAAAATTTTCAAGAGTCAACTATAAGTAAATGTGATGTAGATTATAATATGTCGATTTAATGTAAAAAAGTGCAATAAATTGGCTACCTTGTCCCTACGTTCTGAATCGTTAGACTTGCGCTGCTCCACGATCCAATTCCCTAAGCGTTTACTTATGGTTAACATGCTCCTTCGTTGAAGATGGACAGGGTTAAATATTTGAACCATGGGCATTGTTGTTATATGTTCGCCCATGGCTACAATCCTTGTAGTTACTTCATGTGCATGGACTGTTGATTCATACCTAGTAAGCTTTCCGCTATCAACCTATTGTACAATTAGACAATTAATCAAAATAATAATAATAACAATAATTTGTACTTGTATACATAATATGTTGTAACCTACATACCTCGTGCATCTCCAATATGTAGCAATGTAAGGGCTCACTACGTTGGAGAAGTCTAAAGAATATTCTCCATCTCTTCTCAATCATGGTAGTTGATAAACCATGCGTATTTTCCTCCGGGGATAAATGTAGCTCCTGTAATTAAATTTCTATTGTTGATAGATTTTGACAATTTATAATGAATGTTCCACAATATATAATCTTGACCGTAACACTAGAATAGAATGAGAGAGATGTGTAAGAGTTGGTGTTTTCATTGAATGATCAGGAAGAGGACTTTTTAATGAATTATAGATGAAAATACTACTCATCAATGAGAGGTTTTTACTATTAGTCAATGGCTGTATTGTAGAAAAATATAAAGACAGTGAAGAGAAACTAATGAGAGATAATATTGATGAATCTGCATTGTTGTTAATCTTCTTAATTAAGTGATTTTTTAGTCTACTCACTCCTTTTTACACTTTTAATATCATATAATTTTATTTGTTGTTACTAATTACTTATACCTTGAATGTAAGGTAAGTTAAAATTTGTGCTAAATAAGTATACACAATTATTTATTTTATTATTGTAGTTTCATTGAATATAAGACATGCCTTAATAACTTTTCTTTCAATATAATTCACTCTACTGAGGTACTATAATTTTGAACATAAAGTTTAATCTGTATCCAAGTATTTTTTTTTATTAAATATTCAATTCTTTCCTTACCTTTCTCTTTGATGATACACTTCTTCTCCAAAATTACAATAGGATGTCGGATACACATATTTATTCTTCTTATAAGAACATGACAAATATTTTTATGGAATGTGAACATACACATTCTATAAGCGAAATTAAGTAGCAAATAAAGATTTGAAAGTGATAGCTGCTTCTTTTAACACAATAAGGAAAAGATTACATACCAGAGGTTCAATTACTGGTGTGGGGAACAAAGACATATACGGCCACCAATTTGGATAACTAGAAGAATTTTCGGATGGAATATTGGCTCCCGTCTTTTCCAACACATGGAAATTTGACATAGGTATCAATACGAAACATTAATAGTTACACATTTTACCATTTCTTGACATAAAAAGGAAAATAGGTAAATATATGTCCAAATAACAAATCAAGATAATCTTGGTTTGATGTTTTACGAAACGAAGAATTAGAGAAATGTATATAGTTGTATATAAATTTCTTACATATATATTTTATATTGCAAAAATATCAGAAAACCATTATGAAAACTATTAGAATCTTATGTAAGAGATGTTTGGCATGATTATTTGTAAAAACAACCAAAGATAGGCCGAAACAAGACAAACCTTAGACTCCGTCGATGTTGAAGGAACTCCGGTTGATTCCATTGCTACGGTGTTCTGCAATAATGTACACTATGATATGTTATATTATCGTACATCATAACTGAAATGCAATGAATTAGTTATGGTTAATGAAATCCTATCAAACTTGGGAACTAGATCCCACAAAAATGCCTAATGTGGAAACTCATCTCTAAGGGTAAAAACAAAATGAATGAGGAAGCAAAAACACGGGGAAATAAATATAGCATATACAATTTCTATTTATCTTTACTATAACTATTAATATTTTTGTTATCTGTGTATGTGTCTGTGTGTGAAACCTTATGTTTAAATTAAAAATAATGATAATGACCATATATTCTCCATATGGCAACAATATGGCAAAAGTTATGAGGTTTTAAGAAAAATCATAAATAGTTGTCCCCTAATCTAAAATGTGACTATATAGTCTTCTTATTTCTGAAAACAATATATAAAATGACGTAGGCATTCTAAAAAACAAGAATAAAAAGAAAATTGGTAAGTGGCATTTCAAGAAATGAGATTGGTTTAGTAAGTATGTATTTAAAAGTAAGTATATATTTTATTAAGGAAGCAGGATATGGTAAATAATAATAATAATAATAATTCGATATAGTAAGTATTGTAAAATGGATAATCACGCATTTAAATATTGCACGGGTGGATGAGAAATAAATTTAAATATAATAAATTTTTAAAAATAAAGTCTTACATATTTAAGCACATCAAAGTTAGTAGGATTCTAGATTCTATCATTTATTACGGTAACATCAAACAATATGGATGACGTGTTTTGGTCAATTTTATCAAATGTTTATTAAGTTAACTTTTCAAACCAAATAATCATTTGGGATTCATTGTGTTTTTTCAGATTTTATTTTATTTATTTTGAGTAAATAATTATTGAATTTAATATTTTGTAATAATAATAAAAATTTGTGAATATATATGGTAAATAAAAATATGGAATACATAACTCGAAGAAACATAACCTATGATTTTTACCAAAAAGAACCTAGATCTAGTTAGTTAGAGTTAAAAAAAAAATAAGTAATATATATATTTACGACAAAACATAAAACATGATAGAAATTATGGCATATGATATCATATATAGATTTAAGTACTTCTTAATTAATAAAATTTAAAAATTTAATGTACCAAAGTCAATTTAGGCCTTTTGTGTGTTTTGATCGATTCTACTACAAGCTTTTTTAACTATACAATCTTCCAATTGATACAAAACGAAAATATATAATTCTTAGAGGAAAATCTTAAAAATTATGTTGTTTGTAAAATTGACTAAAAAAAAACCAAAATAATAAAGCATATATGAAAAAAACATCTAATCATACATTTCTTGATCATACACCGTACCAATAACAATGATTTTCGTCTCACCTGTGTATGTCTGAAAGGCAATACTTGCTTGAATTTTTCTTCACAATCTCACCTAATCCTAGATCTGTAAGATTTGAGTAAGTGAAAGAAGAAGGCTAACTCATTTATATAGGCTAGGGTTTCATGTGTTGGCAAATCAATTTTGGGCTTTAAAGAAAACCCACAACTGTTTCCTTTCTTTTCATTTTATTTAATCTAGGTTTCTAAATTTTATTTGAAAATAGGGTAGAGGTGTTTTTACGTGGATTTTATTTATTTTGGGCTACAAGAAAAACTCACAAACATTTGAAAGTTGGTCCAATAAATTAAGTTGAAATAAAATATATTTTAGTTACACTAGCCCATATAAATATTGTTCATTTATATTCAATCTACTAAATTAATGAAGCAAGTTGTTAAATAAATATAATATTTTTCATTAATATGCTAATAATCCTAAATGAATTTCATATTTTAGCTGAGTGATTAACTTTTAAAAAATTACAGATTTTGTGATTTCCACGAACCTATTACAATATTATCCTCAAAGTAGAAACAATAATGTCTAAGGGTAGAGAAACTACAAAAACTCGGTTTCTATAGTCTATTATTTAAAAAACAAACCTCAATTCATCTTTTAGTATGAACGGGCTTGAATTGATGTTGATTGACATTTACTCACATCCTAGTAGCCAATGTTGCATTAGTAATAATAATAATAATAATAATAATAATCATAATTCGAACTTGTATATGCTGTAAAATATGTACGGCATATATCTCTAATATGTAGAACTATATAGTGCCACTACTTTGTTGGAGTCAAGAAAATATTCAGTACTAGAAAATTGACTTATAGTTGCGGTAAAAAATAGTCATAGTTGTAATATCACGGAAAAACATATGAAATCATTTATGTGGAATTTCCATGGTGACTTTTTTTAATTTTTAGCATTTCTGTGACAATATGTTACAGAATAATTCTAGCTGCAACAAAATTTCGTGAATTTTTTAAGATTGTGAAATTTTTCGTGACAATAGGTAACAGAATAATATCATTATATTTCCATGACTTTATATTATCAAAAGTTCCAACAATGTCGTGACTTTATATTTTTTTAAAATAATATATAATTATATAATAATTATTTTTCAATGCAATCACACACCATTATTATTTTCGAATTAATCCGAACATCGTAAGTTAACCGCTGCCACACTATTTTTCAACTTAATATGCAAGTCGGAAGTTATTGGCAGAATTTGGACCAGTGACTTTATTATAGTTATTAAATACCTATCACGACCTATCTCGTCATAGTTATTATAGTTTTTTGAACTTCAGAAAAGCATTATAATAGCATTTGAAAACTTAGCCAAGATTAATTTGTTGTCTTGTTGTTTTTGTGTTAAAGAATGAAGTTCAAAAATTTTCATCAAATAGATACTTACTTGGCTTCGTTGCATTTGGGATAAATAATTCAGCCAAAATTTTTGTGTTTAAATCTGCTTTAGTGAAGATTTCATTCGTCTCTTTTCATCATATCCCAAATGTGAAATGGATAGCCAAACTTCCGGCCACATCAGATATTACAATGGTTTTCCCTCCGATGGAGAATCAAGTGATCTTCCAAATTCTTGAAAGTCTAACCCCAAGAAGAATTCGAACCCTTTAAAGGATTGTGTTAGAATGTGAATAAACTAAAACTATTTGATGGATTAGTGACACTAACTGACTATAGAATTTCATTATAGCTTCACCATAAAAACCTAGATCAAGTTGTTATTTCAAAAATAAGTAAGTAAAATATTTCCGACAAAACGTAAGACATGATGGCAATATGGCGAATGTATCTCATGCATATAGATGTAATATACTTCTTAATTAGTATATAATATTTACAAATTCAATTAACCAAGTCGAGTTTAGGTCCTTTGCGTTTTTTAGCTCAACTACAAGCGTTGTTCAACTATACAATCTTCCAGTCATCACAAAAACGAAAATATATAATTCTTACAAGAAAATCTTTAAAATTCTGTTGTTTCTTAAAGCGACTAAAAAATTTAAACTTTTGACAAATTAGAATAAAAGACTCTTATTTCATTATTGTTGTACTATGCTTTAAATTCTCGATAAGTTTTTTATTACTAGGCAATTATCATAAATGAGGTAGGTGCAATTAATATATATTTATTGACATCAGTACACTGAAATCTAATATTTAGAAAAATAGCAGAGGTAGATAAGAATTAAAATAAATAGATATGATTAACGTTGGAGTTAGCACTTTAAAAAATAATTAACAAAAATTTGAGCGACTGAAATTAAATAAATAAAAAATTAAAAAATAAATATCATATGGCAAAGAATATCATGTAAATTTTAATATGCATCCAAGTTTTTTGAACAGAAAAACCAATGAACCAAACATACCTTAAATCCGTGTGATGTGATATTTTGGATGTAAAATTTAATTTAAATGTAATATAATAAATAAAAAAACGGGTATTTGATTTGATATTTTTTTAAGAAAAAAAAAATTGAAATAGTAAAATCGAAAATCAAATCCCACAAGTAAACACACTTTGTACAGTGATTTAGTTTGACCTATAGTCTTCCAATTATCACAAAAATAAAATCTATAATTCTTTTCAAAAGATAGTGATCTTCAAAATCTCTTTATTTCTTGAATTTTTTTATGGCCAATAGTATTAAATAAAATAAAAATATGTAATTTTAAGTCTCATGATTATGCTCTAAATGAATACTAATAAGTTTTTTTTTTTTTTTCACATGTGCCTGAAAGACAATAGATTTTTCTTTTCTTACATGTTCCTGAAACAATCTCAAGATCATTAGAAAATCTTAACACAATATTCACTAAAAACAACCAGAACATCTCTAGAAAACACAAAACACATAACATAGAGATAAAGTTTCTTAGAGAGAAAGACAGCGCAACACCAACTCTACAATTACACCACGGGCACATATGTATAGAAGTAACGGACGGACATGATCAAATCCGTTGATCGTACAACGGATATTAAAGCCTACAAAGTAATTGGGTCCATGGGTCGGGGCTACGTCTTGGACCATTTCATTGGATCAAGAACACATTACAGGTAAAAGAACTTTGTGCCAAAACAACAACGGGTAAATATCAAGACATCTGAATAGTGTAAACATCACATTGATTAGGATTTCTTAATTAAGGTATGAATCATTACAATATATTCATTTGAGATGATTCAAGACATCAAACCTGAACTTCATATGAAAAATGTCATGTCTCAAAGAAGTTTCACTTAAATTTCTGAATTCAAGCGATCAAGAGAGTTCAAGCGAGGAGTTTGTCCAGCGACTAGTTTGCCTAATAGACTGCTAACCAAGCAACACATTTCCGGCAAGCAAACTTTCAACATCTAAGCAAACATCTAAATGTTCAAAGCAAAGTCTAATTTTTATCAGCAACCATTTAGACAGTTAGTGAACTCAATAGACTTACGATGATAGGATTTTCATCCCTTAGTAAAAATTTTATCCAAGGCAATTTGAGTATTGCATGACCTTTGACACTACAACCACAGCTCAATGATTGATTCTCCGCATCCTCTCCATAATTTGGATCAACAAAAATAGGCTGAAAGAAATCATTTGATTGTTCTTCCATGTTGGGGTTCAAATCCAAGTCTCACATTGAAATATTAGAAGAAAATCTAACACCTTATACATCTGTTGGTCCAGTCCCAACAATAGTATCAGAGTCCGGTTTGTTGGTGAAGTGGATGTATAGCACTGAGCATTGGTTGTGGTGGTGGGCTCGCCTACATATGGGAGGTATTGACAATCTTCGATTAATCAGACCACTCTCACTTGAAATTTCTCTAAAACATGAGAAACCAAACTGGTTCATATCATTTGGGAAAGATGCTTGATCAAACAAGTAACATATATATGAAAGATATTTTAAATAATTAGTTTATCAATTTTAAAATATATACTATCCTATCAAACAATTTTATTATATTATATATATATATATATTATATCAAAATATTTCCAAATTTTGTGGAAAAAAAAAAGGTTTGATCATCCATAATATAGAATTTTCATTGAATAATTAAGGTTTGCTTATTCAAAATATTTTGCCATTATCTTAATTCACCAGTGAATTATGTTGTATAATTTTTTTTAAAAAAAAATAAATCATTGAACCCAAATAAAATTGACTATAGACAAATTTTAGAAAATAATTGTGTCTTTTTAATGTTTTGGATTCTTTTGGGATTTTTGTTACTAGTTAAGTTATTAAGAATTGTAAAATGTAATTTAAATATTTATTTTTGTTATTTTTTAAATATTATTTTGTTTAAAAAATACTTTCTTTTTTTTTATCAAAACTAATAATAACAACTACAATAAAGAGTGTAATTTATTGACTATGTATGATTGGCGATTAGTTAACATTGTCAACAATTTCTTAATCTTCTTAAAGATAAAACTAAAAAAAATTTATAGTATGAAATTACTTTTGCAGATGTTAGCAGAGAATAAATTAGTGGGTGGGTACATTTTCATTAAAAAAAAAAAATCTAAGTTGGAAATTAGGTTTGAAGAGTTATATTAATTAATATTTGATTTATAATATAATGTTTATAATATTAAAAAAAATTAAAATATATAATTAAATATTTTAAAATTTATATGTAAATAAAAATATATATAATGTGAATATAATCCCCTACAAAATAAATTTTAATATGAAATAAATAAATAAATAAAATATATAAGTCTGTTCATCAAATTCAATTTTTTCTAAGATAATTCTCAATATATATAATATTTACAAATATTTTTTTTACAAAATTTAACAAGCCAATATAAAATATTATTTATTATATTATCAATTTTTCATAAATATATATATATTAGAATAATAAACAAATATTTTGAATATATATAAACATATTTATTTATTGAACAAGATGTAAATTGAAAATTTTAAGTTAATGCAATATTTGAATAAAATAGTTAGCAATATACACTACATCAAAAAATTATTTTTGTAACAAAATTTTTTTGTTTTTAAATTTACTTTTTTTCGTTACTAATGACATTAGAGACGGAATTAAGAATGAAATTACATTAGCTACGTGAACTTTAGGGATGAAATTTCCTTACAAATATATTATTATTTTTTTTTGTGATACGGAGCAATTTGAATCCAACTGGTTACCGGACACACTCGTCCTATTTTTATTTTTTTGAAAATGGAAGTCTACTCAGACAAGCCTTTAAAAAAGGTTTGATAACCACACAATAATCAACACTTGTATAAGATTGGGACATCTTAATCACTAACATTATTAATGATAACAATGAACATTTATAATAAAATAAATAAATAATTTTTAAAAAAAATATGAATAGACAAAAGTCTCCATTATTCTCTTTATAATTTATATTTAGAAACTGTATATATAACGTCCTCTCATATTTTAAAAAATATCGCACAAAATATGAGGAAGTCTCAGACATATTTTTAAAAGAATTTTGTGTAATGTTATCTAAATCACAAGAGAATCTTATATAGTTTTTAAATATATCTCAAATTTTTCAAATTACAAATAAATTATAAATAATTTAGTCAAATATATATATATATATATATTAATTGGAGGTCCAAATCATTGCAGTTATCGTTTTTATCTATATTTTAGGAATAATTTTTTTAGTTATTGTTGGAGATAAAAAGATAAGTATATATCAACTTTCCCCCCAACTAATACCATTGCGTAAGCTTTGAGCATTTCATAATTCATCTAAATACATGTTGGAAAGTTATGCTTTTGAGTCTTCATTTCATTATTTTTTTAGTTGATTATTATTTTGGAATACTAACTAGTTTAAATTTCTTATTTTAGTATTATACCAAGAATCTCGTGTTCCACGCAGTTGGAGCAGAATCTCATGTTCTACAATATATATATTTTTAAAAAAAAAAAAAACTAACACAATTATTGAACGACTAAATTATATTGTTGTTATTAATGGGTAGTATACTAAAAATAAAAATTAATATAGAAATTGTCCAAATAAATGAATACTTTTCATACCATATGGCCGCCGGAAAACGCTGGATGCGCCGCCACAAGCGGCGGAGCTCCGACGAGCTCAGAGCGGATGATCGGAACATGGGAGTGTGTTGCGCCACCCACTGGGGACGGAAAGTCTAAATTTTCTCTGATACCATGTTGTGCTTTTAAAAGAAAAATGAAGTGTTGATTCACTACACAATAATACAATTCTTTTTCTTTTTTTTTATGATATGGAACTACGCAGTCGCTACTCTTTAATTAGGTGCACTCTGGGTAAATCCTCCGGCCGAACCTAATAATACAATACTTATTGGTTTGTTTGGTTATGATTTGAAATTTATTTGAAATGGGTATTGATTTGTGTTTTTTATTTAAATAGTATTTTAACATAATATTTTGTGAGATTCTATAGCATTTTTATTTGAAACCGTGAAAGTCAATGTTATTGATTTCTATTTCAAATCACGAAACAATAAACTTGTTAGGAGTGGGCGTTGCTATTGCTATTTTGGTTGATGGTCTCAGATGGTCCGATTAACGTATAAATTTTTGTGGACAGTTACGGGTCATTCAATGTGAGACAAGTGATCCATTATGGTCCAAATTGATCAATCTGGCATATCTTCGAAAGGAAAATCTATTCTAAGGGACCTACTCGAGATTAATAAGCCAATTTTAGAAGATTTGATTGAGAAAAAATATGAAAGTCAAATTATGAACTTATTGAAAAGAATTTCTTTCCTCATTTGATGCTCTTACCTTCTTGAGAATGTTGGAGTAAGAGAACTAACTACAATGCAAAACAGTATGAATAGAGAGGAGAAGAAGAGAATTGAGTTGGTAGAGGTTGTAAGTATGAATGGTTGTTTTAGAAAATTTTATGTGCGCGATAGTGCAAGATTTCTGAGGACTGTGATTAACTAACAACTTTGTAAGTTTGATTCATTCATCCTTTCTTATTAATCTTTTTGGGTTGGTACTCTCTGATCTTTGATGGTCGAACTGAATTAACAATTTGAGTGTGATTTATTATTTACTGCTTTTAGTGTGCGTCAGCGGTTTGATCAATATAACTCTATTTTCCCTGCTCGAATTATTTCTGCAAAAATCTAGCGTTGTTATGTGTCGTTAATTATTTAAGGCGATTAGTACCAATAAAACTCATATATACAAAGGGGTATTTTAGATATTATATACACAAAAGTATATATATATATATATATACACGTACTAACACTTGTAAATTAATTAGGTTGAAAGTCAACGATAAGTCTGGATTATCCTTGTCTTTGTTCAAGTCGGATTATCCTTGCTGAGAAACTCTATTTTGCCATTTTTCGGGAAGTCATGCGTAGTTAAGGATCACAGTTTTGCTTATCTCTTTTCATTTTGGTCTTACCAATTGTAGTTGTCTTTTAAAATTAAAATATATATTATATACAGGGTAAACTGTTTTTTTAGTCCCGTAACTGGAACCTTTATCATTTTAGTCCCGTAAGTGGAGCCTATCGCAAACTAGTCCCATAAGTGAAAAAATTTTGCTGTTTTAGTCCTCCGGCGCCGGAGACACCCGCGTGGCTCGCCGGAGGTGACGTGTCTGCCAGGTGTCCCGCCAGGTCAGCGACACCTGGCGGACACGTGGATTTATTTTTCATTTTTCATTTTTTTTCATTTTTTTAAATTGTAACAAATAAAATAATAAAAAAATTCAAATAAAATTTAAAATAAATTAAAAATAAGTTTTAAAAAAAAAATTTAAAAATAAAAATCCACGTGTCCGCCAGGTGTGACCCGGCGGACACGTCACCTCCGGCGAGCCACGCGGGCATCTCCAGCGCCGGAGGACTAAAACAGCGAAAATTATTTACTTATGGGACTAGTTTGCGCCAGGCTCCACTTGCGGGACTAAAATGATAAGGGGGTCCACGGGACTAAAAAAACAGTTTACCCTTATACTTAATATTCTAAATAAAAACTAAATTTAATAACTAATCATTTAAATAAAAATAATAATAATTTTAATTTTTTAGAATAAAACATATATATGTGTGTGATGAATAAATGATAATGGGATCTAGAATAAAAAACTACATTGAAACACATCTTCAATTATGCCTAATACTTTGGTATGTATATAATATATATATATATATGTATATATAAGTATGTATGGGGCAACAGTGCAGTGCAGCAGCGGCGCATTGAATTGGAGAAGACTGAAGCGTAGAGAAGCTGTGGCACTTAATTACTTTTGGGAGTGGGAGTGAGAATGGAGAATAGCAGGTACTGAAACCACCCCACCCCACCCCACCCCTGAGGAGGATTCCATCATTTATATATAAAGTGCAGTGTATCATCATCATCGTGCATTTCAATTATTGGAATCTATCTACCTATCTATCTATCTATTTTTCACAAGAATCAAAGACGACGATGAACAACAAGATTAATAATAATAATCCCCCAAAACAGGAATCTGCACACCATGGCAGCAGCTCTCTTGTCCCTACTTCTATTCCTCCTCAGGTTTGGTTTCACCTCTCTCTCTCTCTCTCTCTCTAGATCTCTCTCTCTCATTTCCAACTCCATTAATTCTCTCTGTCATTAATTCATAAGCTTTGCTTTAAATTTACAATAGGAGAATGATGAGGAAGCATCGATGGGCAGAGATGAAAGGAGAAAGCCTAAGCTGTTCTTGCAGATACCTCCTCCGGCCATGTCGCCTCAAGAATTCATTCAAATTAAGATGCCTCCCACCCCTACCCCCACCCCCACCCCCAAGAAGGTCAACTTCTTTATTGCGCCAAGCCCTTCCGACTCTAGGCCGAATGCAAGACCTCCGGCGATGTCCATCCGGAGCCTACTGCCTAAGCTGAGCTTCAATCACAGCTGCACTGCCGACACGGACGATGATGTCGAGAAACCTGCTGTTGCTGCTGCTGCTGATGTTGGTTCTTCTCGAAAGACATCCATATCAAGGTCCTGGTCTCTGTCCAAGATTTTTACTCCGAGGATGAAGAGGACGTCGTCCCTTCCGTTGTCTCCACTCGTAAACTCCAATCCTAACAACGCCAACCCCCGTATGGATCATCGCCAACTTTCGCTCCATGTAAGCCTTTTGAAATTGTTTCCTACTTATTTAAGTGTCCGAAGATTATAATATATAATTAACAGATGCATTTTTTTCTATAAATTTAAATTTTTAGATGAGATGGTCCATAAGGTTCGGCAATTTTAAAAAAAAAAGGAATGTCAACTTGCAAGTTTCTGTGGGATGAATGCTCCTTACACATGAGACCGTGTTAATAGACTATAATTATGCGTTTTTGTATAAGCTTAATTTTTAGATAAGATAATTAGTAAGGTCAATTTTGTGAAAAAAATAAAATAATGTTCTTGTGCAAGATTTGTGTAGGATGAATCTAGCTTGCAGGGGCGTATTAGAAAACTATAATATATATTCAATGATGTATTTTTTCTACAAGTTTAAGCTTCTAGGTAAAATTTGTCATTTACTTTACACAACAAAAAGGTTAAATTCTAGCTAAAAAAAAAAAAAAATCTTAGTAAAGTTCATAGAAAAAATTATTTTTGTTTTCGCCGCTTATATTGTGTTAGTAAAGTTCTTTGGCGAAAAATTTTACTTTTGTAACAAAAGATAAGTTTTTTTTTTTTTTTCAAGAAAAATTAAGAAAAAAAATATAGCTACGAAAATATACTTACTTAGCTAAAGTTGTTTTTGTTATAAATTTATAACAAAAAAATTTTAACATCAAAATATACATGGTTTTTTTAGTCAAATGGTTTTAATTATGAAAGATAATTTTGTAGCTAAAACACTTTTGTATGAAAATAAGATTTTCTAGCAAAAGAATTTTAGCGACGAAATTAATTTTGTAGTGAATAATTGATTTTAGCGACTAAAAAATGTGTTGCTAATTAGACATTTTTTTATAGTGTGATTGATTATATGTATGTGCAATGGCAGAGAAAAGAAGTCGGGTCGATACACCGGTCGCAGTCTGTCCCCGTCCTCCTTAACAAGGAGAAAAGTCTTCAAAGGAGCAACTCTTTCTTCCGCGTAATTTCCTCGACTCCCCGGCCAAAGGACGAAGATCCGGAAGCAACAATAGGAGACGAGCGTATAATTCGACACCAATCATCATCGCACATCTCTTCATATTCATATTTCCATTGATTCAAGTTAAATGTTTTGCCGCAGAAAATGACGAAGAAGATATACCAGAAGAAGAAGCCGTCTGTCGAATTTGTCTAGTCGAATTATGTGAAGGCGGAGAGACACTTAAGATGGAATGTAGCTGCAAAGGCGAACTTGCCCTCGCTCATCAAGATTGCGCCGTCAAATGGTTCTCGATTAAAGGCAATAGAACGTGCGACGTTTGCAAGCAACAAGTCGAGAATCTTCCCGTCACTCTTCAACGCATTCAAAGCTCCATACTTATGGATAGCGACGCCTCGCGGACTAGTTTTTCTCAAATGGAATTCAATGGATACAGGCAAGTAGTATATACAAACTGCAAATGAAAATGATCATTTCACCTAAAAGTTTAAGGAAATTTTTTTTTTTTTTTAATGCAGAGTTTGGCAAGAGCTGCCCATACTTGTCATTGTTGGCATGCTAGCCTACTTTTGTTTTCTCGAGCAATTATTGGTAAGATCGATCGAAAAATATTGTCATGTTCGAGACAACAAAAGAGAGTTTTACTTACGATGGAATTTGAAAATGCAGGTGAAGAAGATGGATAGCAATGCGATCGCGATATCGCTTCCATTTTCGTGCATCTTTGGCTTACTTTCGTCGATGATTTCGTCGACTATGGGTAAGTTAAAGATTTATGAATTCCAAAAAATAAATAAAAAATAAAGATGCTTTTGATGAACATTTTCTTCTAATTAATCACAGTGAAGAGAAAGCTCGTGTGGATTTATGCATCAGTTCAATTCGCTCTTGTGGTTCTCTTCGCTCATCTTTTCTACAATTTGGTGAGTAGATTCCTTTGGGTGGTGTGTAATTTATTTACAAGTGTTAAAATTTTAAAAAATTTTAACTTGATTTTTAAGTTCGGATTTGGATTTGGATGTTGATTTTAAAAAAAAAAAAATCAGGTCAATCAAATGAAAAAAAAAAAATAGTTAGATCATATGGGGTTTCAAATTGACCTGATAACCCGAAATATATAAATCAGGTTACTAGATAATCCAAAATCCAAACCCGACTTGATTTTAACTTGAAACAAATCAGGTTTTGTGGATTTTCGAGTTTGTTTCGTGTTAAGTTTTTGGGAGTTCATTCAGATTCATTCGGGTTATAGGGTGACTTGAAACAAAATTAAGTTGACCTTAACCTGATCCGAAAAGATTCGTATCGTTAAGTGTTTTGGGTTGAAAATCGGATTCGAATTGTGTTTGAGTTGACAGGTTTTTTGTTATACCTGTTAACGTGCGCATAACATCCTATAATCAATTGATAATTGATGTTAGGAGTTGAAAGATTATATTTAATATGGTTAAATGTTGATAGATAATGAGTCACCATGAAACTCTTATGCTATTCAAAGTGTGTTGAGCAATAACACATATACGCTATTCTTCCTCCTAAATCTTTATGATTTTCTTTCCCTAAAATCCAACAATACCCACAGCTCAATCCGACAAGAACATGATCGGAAAACATGAATTGACCACCCCTACAAATTACCGATAATGTTTCTCAATTCTCATGATTCATAAATGGTTCCTTGTTTTGGAGGAATTAGGTTCATGTTCATGCGATTATATCAGTGCTCCTGTCTGCATTTGCTGGTTTTGGTGTTGCAATGACTGGAGCCAGTGTTGTGGTCGAGCTCCTCAAATGGAGACGGAGAGTGCGCCGGCGGAGCCGCCGGCCGGAAAATCAGAATCTGCAGAATGAGAATGAGGTGAACAACCAAATGAGATCAAGTGATGACAGCCGCGACTCTCAACCTCAACCTGGAGCTACCATATGATACGAATACGTTGATGATATGTATATATATATATAGAGAGAGAGAGAGAGGTTTAAGAGATTAATTTGTGAATGAATGATCGAAGAAACATCTGATATATGTTATGTAGGTTGCACTATCGCCATATTTGCTTATTGATTTACATCATTAGGAGCTAGCATTGGTAATGATAATATGGCAAGAAGTCACGCGAATTTGAACTTTTTTTTTTTTTTTTCCTTTTAAGTGTGTTGACTTTTTGTATTTGGGATAAGATTATTTTTTTATATTTGGGTATCGTTATAGATTAGATTGGGAGCCTTTTGATGCTTCTGATCTAATCCCGCTTTGGAATCAGCAGCCCATACTCTTATCGGCATTATCTATTGGGTGTATATATGCACATACATATATATAAAGTATACATCCAATGGATGATGATGTAAATGAGGTTGGGAGCCTTTCGATGTTGACCCCTACCTCCATTTGTATCATATCTATTGGGTGTATACATGCACACATGTATATATAAAGTACACATGTGTGTATTTATAAAATAACTTTATATATACACATATGTATATGTATATACTCAATGGATGATGATGTAGAAGAGGCTAAAAGCCTTTTGATACAACTAATCAAATCCCGCTTTTGGATCATATCAGCAGCTCCACCTTCATTTCCATCATCACCTATTGAATGTATACATACGCACATGTGTATCTATACAATTAATGGGTGATAACGATGAGACTAGGGTGGATATGAGGCTGATGGTCTGATCTCAAAGCAAGATTACATCAGCAACATCAAAAGGCTCATATTCACATCTACATCATCATCTATTTAGTGTATGCATACACATATGTGTGAAAAAATTCATTTTATATATAGGTATATACATCCAATGGGTGATGATGCAGATGAAGCGATGAGCATTTTGATGTTTCTAATCCGATCTCGCTTTGGGATCAAATCAATAAGCCCACCTCCATCTGCATCCCCACCTATTACTTGTATAAATACCAATGTGTGTACGTAAAAATTATTTTATATATACGCATATGTGTACCAAATTAGTGATGATAGAAATGGGATTAAGAGCCTTTTGATACTACTAATTTGATTCCACTTTGAGATCAAATTAGCAACCTCACTCCCACCATATTTACATCATCACCTATTGTGAGTATACATACACAGTTATGTATGTATAAAGTACATCTATGTATAAAGTACACATCAGATCAGCAGTAGCCCCACTCCCACCCCATCTACATCATCACATATTTGGTGTATACACACCTATGTGTGTATATAATACACACATGTGTATGTATAAAATCACTTTATATATACACACGTGTATATGTATACAATAAATGGGTGATGATGCAAATAGTGCTACGAGCCTTTTCATGCTACTGATAGGGATTAGATTAGCAGCCCCACTCTCACCTTATTTGCATCATCATTTATTGGGTGTTCATATACATATATATATGTATAAAATACAAGCATATGTATGTATAAAATTATTTTATACATACACACGTATGTATATATACATCCAATGGGTGATGATGCAGATGAAGTTGGGAGCCTTTTGATGCTGTTGATATGATTTTGCTTTGGGATCGGATCAGCAACCTCAATCCAACCCTATCTGCATCTATCACTTATTGGGTGTATACATATTCATGTGTGTATGTACATATTCAATGGGTAATGATGCAAATGGGGCTAAAGTAACAGCACCGTCACGAAAGTTTCATCCGCTACATCACTCATTGGGTATATACATACACATATTTATATATATACACCTAATGGATGATAATGCAATGAGAGTCTCTTGATGTTGTTGATCTAATCTCATTTTGTAATCAGATCGGCAGCCCCACACGTGTGTGTATACACCCTATAGGTGAGGATGCAGTTGGGGCTAGGAGTCTTTTGATACTGCTAATCTAATCCCGCTTTGAAATCAAATCAGCAGCCCCACCCCTACCTCGCTTCATTTATATCATCACAAGCACATGTGTATATATATGAAGTACACATGGATGTAATATATATATTCAATAGGTGGTGATGCATATAGGGTTGAGAGCCTTTTAATTATATTGATCTGATCTCGTTTTAGGATCAAATCTGCAGCGCCACCCCACCTCAGCCACATCTGTCTCATCAGCTATTTGGTGTATACATACACATAACGAGTGATGATGTAGATGGGGCTCGCAGCTACTCATTTTATTCCGCTTTTGGATCATATCAATCGTCTCACCCAGTCCAATCTGCATCATCACACATTTGTTGTATGCATATGTACATGTATATATATATATGAAGTACACACGTCTGTATGTATGATATATATGTATACATCAAATGCGTGATGATGCAGATAGAACCGGGGTGATGTTACTATCCCAGCTAAGCGCATTTGTATCATCATACCTATTGTGTGTATAAATATATACTTGTCTAATGATTTATAAACCCTAATCTTCGATTTATACTTCCATAGAGTGCTCACCCGCTTCCTTAAATTAACATAAATATCATTGTCCGCCTTGATTGATTTTTTCCTCTCAAACCAAGGACAAACTTAGGCCCACCTTGCACCGCCTATCACAAAAGGATCCGCAGCTAGATCAACAACAATTGTCGGGACTGGCTCAACGCCAGACTTTCGACACAAAGTACATCCGCAGGTCATGAGGGCGAGCCCACCACCACAACCAATGGCCCCAATGCCACCCAGCCACTTCACCATCAAACCGGACTCTGAAAAACCTCGTATTAATAGAGTTTACGTTAGATTTATAAGGTGTGAATTTTTGTTCTCAAATATAGTACTTGAGTTTGCACCCAACAATAATAATAATAATAACTAAGTGATTACAATTTCGCTCTTGTCTTCCATTTCCACCGTTTCCTTAAAAATCAATCCTATCAATCAAGACTAATCACAAGTTCCACCTTTCGATTAAAAACCAATCCTATGGATCAAGACTAATCAGTACCGTGCAGATTAAGATCAACGGTCGCTCCAAAACATAGATAATACAACACTGAAAGTCATAATAGCAATAATAATGACTCCAAAGAAAGCAACTTTTTGCTCTTTCTATAAAAGCGTTATAGATAGATAGATAGATAGATTACAACAAAATCCCCACAACAAAAACAACTCAATACAGAAAATGACAACAACTCTTTCTACCTATTGTCTCTCACTTCACTTGTTGCTAGTTAGTAAAATAACTTCCCTTCCCTGCAGCACTGTAATAAAAGTAACAGACACAGCCTTCATAGTTCATCCTTGACATTGTCGCTTTTGGTGTCCCCGGTGACTTGTTCCGGTGGTGGCTGTGGCGGCGATGCAGCTGGTTTCTGGAGCTTAAATGGTATTGAAGCATGCTTCTTGATGAACTTGTAGAATCCCACTACTGTACGCTCAGTCTCGACCGGTATCTGCCACAGAATAGATCGAGGCCACAGTAAAGTTTGGTATTGACTCAAGCAAATCGAATTCCAGACTGTCATACAGAGCATGTAAAGCATGGCTTACCGGATCCGAGCTCTTCTTCCCGGCTGGGAAGAAGAGAATTGTTGGGAATCCATCGGCCTGCAGGTAAAAGAATCCGACAATTTCATTTATTTGAGAGCTGAATCCACTCACTGAACACGGATTATGAAAGGACCTTAATTTGGCCATTGATGCAAGATTACTTGTCGATAGTTAAGGGTGGGTGGGTCCAATATGAGAATACCTTCGCCCGTGGGTGTTCATTTGTGGTTCCATCCATTTTAGCTATGACGAGAGATTCAATGCTGCGCAAGTGCTTGGCAAGCTTGTTGTATGTTGGCTCGAGGGCTTGGCAATGGCCGCACCAGGGTGCGTAAATCTACCCCCATTTGTTGAGAAGAAATTGTTTAATATGACTATCACTATTTCAAAGACGTAATAATTATGAAGAATATAAGGTACCTCAAGAAGGACATCTTTCGATTCATCCAGAACAATATCTTCAAAGTTATTACCAACGACGATCTTCACATCACCATCATTCTGTAATTTGAGAGGCAGAGGAAATGTCAACAGCAAATTACATATGAATTTCATCAGACTAAAAAATGTGAGCATAACTAACACTCTCGGGAATTGGATCCGATTTATAGATTGGTTTCAGCTTGTCTTCCAAGAAATCATTCCCAAACTCCTGATAAAATGATGGAAACGGTGTTCTTAGTGAAGATTACAACAGCCCAAATGAACCTAGATTTATAAAGCATAGTAAATTTAAACCAACAGAACAGAATTTAACCTTTAACTTTTCAAGCACAATTTCTCCTGAAAATGGGTACTTTTGAGTATCATCACCTCCTGCAAAGCCCACAACCTGCAACCAGAACTCATAAGCGATTATAAATCCAATCTCCTAGATTCCGAGATCATTTTCTTTATTCTAGACTTGGAGATCACAAAGAAAGTTAAGAATTTTACTGCAGGTGAATCTGTCACTCCAAAAAAATCAGCTACAGGCCTTCCCACGGCTTCATTGTCAATGTCAACCCGTACAAATATAAGCTGTGCATCAAGTGGAAATAACAATGAAAATGGTGCAAGTAATTATGCCAAGTGCCAACAAAGATATTAAAATGGTATAGTAGAGATAGCTATGTCGTTAAATATCGATTTCCTGGTTGTGATCCATCAGAAACGCGGAAACGAGATCTATCCTTTCAAATCAATAAAATGGAAGTCCACAAGTAATTTTAACAGCAACTAATTCCAGTACCTTTCCCTTGAAAAGCTTTGCAGCTTCTTGGAATGTTTGAAAGACCTCTTGTGAGTCATTCGAAGAGGCAAAGAGCAAAACCTGAACAAACATTAAAGAGTCTTTATTCCAGCAACAAGAAAGACAAAACACCAAGCAAGACATACGAATTTCTGTGGACTCAACCATGAAAAAGAAGTGAATATAGAGTAAAACTGTGGAAATGGCTACTAAACCTGCTTTTTAATCGGGCTTTCAAATATTATTGGAGCACTTTCTCTACTGAAAGTTGTCACTAGTGGAAGCTTATTGGTAGAAACAAATTTAAGTATTTCAGACTTTTTGAAGTTCCCATCTGCCAAAGAGTCGCAACAAATTTTTAAGCAGTAAAGGACAGATAGTTTTAAAAACGCAGTTCAATAGGAACCAACCAAAAATGGTCACTTTCTCAGGCTCCTTCTTTAATAGGACCATAGCAGGACGGTTCACATCAGCTTCCAAGTGAAACATCTTGGCAACATTGGGATTTATTGTTTGGTAGAAGTTAACACTATCATCAAGCTTTGATGCAGCAGTAAACTCTTGACTGTCCACACCCTGAAATAGTTATATTGTGAGGAAGTGTCGAATTCCAATATCTAGATAAAGGAAAAGAGAAAATAGAAATAAAAGCAACACTGGCGAAATGAGACACAATATCAAAATTTATTTGATACAGTAATTAAATCACAGCTATCCAATATCACACTCTTAATAGTCAATGATCAATGATTGCTCAACTTAGTAGAATTGCATATTTGTCATTTCAATCATAACAAGAAGAAATAACAGAGGGTAAAAGGAATATTCCAGGCGGATAGTTTATATCTAAATAATGGTGTTGATAGGATAAAGAAATAAGCAAATAAAAATAAACATCATCTTCGTTGAAGGGTCATATAAATATCCATTCAAACATAAAGAAAATGTATCTACATTAACAGAAAATTAGCAAATTTAATAAATGCAAAAATCATAATAGGCAAAGTCAGAACATCTTACCACCAATGAATTGAGGAATGCCAAAACAACCTTATTCTCAGATGTTAATATATTCTCGGCATCCTCTGTCGTTGTTATGTTGGATATACCAGGCCCAATTTTCTTCCTAATCCAGGTAACAATAGCATCTCTGCATAGAGAGTTTTGTAAATTTTCAAGGAATATAATTCAATCAATGGCATCAAGCTTCCAAAATAGAACCAACATCAGGTGCAGCATGTAAATTTTGTGCACATATATACAGTCATCATCAAAATTAGCTGAAGTGGCTTGAATCTATGAAACGAATACTTGCATTTCTCTTTCAATTAATTCAACATTCCAAAAGACAGAGATAAACAAAAAGCTCAAACTCAATGCTTCCCTGCATCAATGGTTGAAGGATTCTGAGGAAATGGAACATAAAAATCAATAGATTTTGCACTTCTATTAAACTTCATTCTCATATTTCAATAGTTCTCTTCCAAATCCTTCCATCAAACATGTGACAAGATGATATATAATCTCTAACATTCTATATCTTTAGTTAGCATTTCCTTTCCCTCCTCAAAGCTTCAAACTAAACACATGGCTGTGCCAGATCAAATCGTTTTACAATATTCAAACCTCAACCAGTTCTCTAAGATATCAAGCCCCAGAAAAAGAGGGCGATGGAATCCATCACCTTAAAAACTACAATGCAAATATGAACTAGCTTATTAAGAGCTACTTCCTTTAGTTTCATCTATCCAAGCCTTACATTTGGTATCATGAAATTGAGTTCTACAATGCATTTCCAGCTCTAATTAATGTGCACTATGAAGTACTATCAATACGATCACCAAGAAAAATGCCTAAACTGAATTCCTCGTACCTCAAACAAGGGAAAATGATCAATCCATCAATAACTTCTTAAGTCAGAAAATGGCATAGAAATTGAATTGAGAAATGATATAGAAGAAGAATCTCACTTGGTGCGATGGCCAGAATAAGTTACATGCTCTCCATCGACAAAGAAGTAAACAGTCGGAAACCCCTGAACTTCATAGTTCTCAGCCAGGCCATTCTCCACCGTAGCGTCCACCTTGGCTAGCTTCACATCCTCCCCCTTCAGTTCTGTCGCCGCCGCCGCAAACTCCGGCGCCAGCTCCTTGCAGTGGCCACACCACGGGGCGTAAAATTCCACCATCACAAACTTATTATCGTCGATGAAACTGCTGAAATTACGATCGGTCAAAACGACGACGTCCTTCTCATCGAATTTGGGCATTTCATCCTCCTCATTCTCGCCCTCGTGGTTGAAGTCCGACGGTACCTCGAAATCGTCGTAGCTCTCAAATTCCTCATCATCGTTGTCGGAGTACTCGCCGTCGGAGTGGTGGTGGTCAGCAGGCGCTGCGTCGGCTGAATCCGATTCCTCGAGAAAGCTCAGATCTTCGTCCTCATCGTCGGCGGAGGAAATGCGGGAGGGGAGTAGAGAGGAGAGTAGCAGGGAGGTGAGTGCTAGAACGAGCAGCAGCCGAGCCGCCATTGGTGCGATCCAGAGAGGAATGAGTTTTGACTGAGATCGGACGATGGACAGTGACCCGATGGTATGAATGTGAGAACCGGACCTTAGACGACGTCGTTTTTAAGTCGGTCTTTGGTTCGTGCTCATCCCATTTTCCATATTAAGGAAAAACCCGTAAATATGTGTAAAACCGGAAAATGGTAATTAGTAGCACAGCACAGTTCATGCACACACACGTCCTATAAACTATAATACTTTTTTCATCGACCAATTGTGTATTTATTTATTTTAAAAGAAAAATATGTAAAAATAAAAATAAAAAAAAAAAAAAAAAAAAAATTAAATGTTAAAAAAAAAAAATAGTACTCCCTCCGTTCAATAAAATTAGTCCACTTGAATCCGGCACGTTAAAAAAATATATATATTTTATTGAAAAAATGATAAGTAGTTTGTGATATTTTTGAATATTTAATAGAAATTAAACTAAATAAAGAGAGAAAAAGTAATAAAAATTAATGATATTTATCGTAAATAAATAAGTGTTCAATAGAAGGTAATAATTAAATGTTTGATTTGTTAACTTTGTCAAAATTTATAATAAAATAAATTCAGCTAATAAAAAAGAAAGTGAAAATAAATTTGTAGAACGAAGAGTATTTTTTTATTAAAAAACGAAACTAGAATAAATTTGAATGACAATAAAATAAATAAATAAAAAAGAGGAAGTACTTGTTTTTATTTGTTTATTTACCAAACAAGAATCAAACTATTCAACTATATATTTATTTATGAGATAAGTTCATTTGATAATATATTTATTAGATTATTTTTTAAAATTATACTAATGTACATGTCGGGTTGGGCCAAGCACGGTCCAATTTTGGTAGACCCAGTCACGACTAGAATGTTCAAAAATAATTTTTTTTGTATCGAATTCAGTTCGAAAATGACCATAATGTTCAAAAATAATTTTTTTGTATCGAATTCAGATCGAATTTTCGAACTGTAATTATTTTTGTCGACTCTGTTGTCCAGTGATATATATACTCCTAATTCATAAAATATATTTTAGTTATTATATTTTTATTAACTCTATTTTTTACAATGATATTATATAATTGTATTGCATACTAAATTATAAAATTTATTTGAATGTGACATAAGTTGATACATTTGCACTATTCTTATAGTGGAATTCATCCAAATATGTGGTTATTTGACCTGTACGAATTTTAATAAAAGTGAGTAATAATTGTTACTTTTTCCTTTTACAGTAAAAAGGAAAATGCAAAAGTATAATCATTTTTACTTAAAAAAAAAAACAAAAAACAAAAATATTTTTTATAACAACCCTAAAATGAAAGTGTAATCTTTTAATCTTAATTTATTTATTTTTCACCATTGTTTTCCATATTGTTTGAGTCACGTTGGAGTTTTTTAATTGCTACGACTATTACACAGTTGCACTTCTTCTTCCCGTAGATGGATGTAAAAAATGTATTTTTGCATAAAAAAATTGGGTAAATTATATAACACATCCTTGTATTTTACTAAAAATGCACAAAATATTCTATATTTTATTTATTGTGTGAAACTCCCTTGTTAATGGAAAGTTTGTATGAAACACCCTCATTGTCCAAAATTAATGTTTGGTTTGAAATAAAGACTTGAATTACATAAGTTTTATACAAATAAAAAACTTAAAAAATATTAAATAATTTTTTTGAATAAAATAAATAAATAAATAATTGATCAATCATTGTGATCAATTTATTTTTATAAGTTTTATAAAAATTAGACAACAATTTGTCTTCAAAAACTATAAAATTGAGGATTAATAAATTATTTATTTATTTAATGCAAAAAAATTATTTAAGATATTTTTTGCTTTTTATTTGTATAAAACTTGCGTAATTCAGGTATTTATTTACAATTAAATATCAGTTTTGGACAAGAAGGGTGTTTCGTGCAAACTTTACATTAACACAAGAGAGTTTCACGCAATAAATAAAACACAGGTATTTTGTGCATTTTTACTAAAACACAATGGGATGTTATATAATTTACCCTAAAAAAATTTATAAAAATGTCTATATGACTCCACCTCGTAATTATGTCAAATATGGTAAAGTCTTCAATCTTTTCGATAATTATATGGATTGAGACAGACTCCTCGAGCTCAATTTGTAGAGTTTAGTTCTATGTTCATATATTTTGGCATCTCCTTATGTCCTTATGACTTGTCTCTCCTTACACATCATACTAAACCTAGCGTCATTATTTTTTTATTTTTTTTTATGACGTAGGAACCCGCAGTCGCTACCCGAAAGTACACACTGGGTAAACCCCTGACCGAACTTAATACCCTGCAAATCAAGCCCGACGGGAAAGGATATTGATTTATCTGACAATTCTTGTAACAATATCTTATACTCTCTCCGTCCCATAACAAACTATCCATTTTTCCATTTTAATCAGTTTCATAATAAAGTATTCATTTCCTTTTTTAATAACTCTAGTATCTTTATTCCTACTACATCCCAATATAATACTAATATTTCTAAAATTATGTGTAAAAAGCAAATGAATATTTAGTTATAGGACGAATGGAGTATATTATTTCATCTCACGAAAAATTACATTAAAATACTATCTAAATAAAATTTAAAATCAAAATTTTCAAACCCAAATCAAAACCAAACACATCCATAATATTTTGAATGAAAATTACTTTTTAATACTATAATATAAAAAAATATATATATATTCGATCTAATATTTTTTTAAAAAAAAACTATAAATAATTAATAAATAAGTAAATATCATATAAGCCATGTATAGCAATATCATAATACCATAACAAGATCGAATTTGTCATCTCCATAATATTTCCTATATATTTCTATAAGATGAAACAATATCGTGATGCCCTTTTAATTCACTACAATAAATCACATGAAAAATAAACCTATATATATATATATATATATATCTTTAGTGAGTTTATTACACGGCGGCGGCGGTGGTGGCGGTGGCGGACCGGCCGGCGGCTTTCTGGGCATTGGCATGGCGCTGGATGGCGATATAGCAAAGTCCCACTCCAACGAGGCAAGCGAAAATAAACCCCAACGGAATACCGGCGGCGATGCTGCCGTCTCTCAGCCGCCGGGCGGATGCGATTTCGTCGGCGGTGGCGGCGGTGGTAACTGCCGCCGCCAGTGGCCGGCTGTCCGCGATTGATTGCTGCGGATTTGGGCGGAACAATGCGAACATTTCCGGGGAGAGTTGCGACGGAATATCGTTGTCGAGAGCTTTGTTGAGTGTTAGAGAAGAGAGAATGGAGATGATGATGATCGCCGTCGCTGCCGTTGCCGTCGCCATTTTTGAAGTTCTTTAAATGTATTTATTTTTTTGATTGGGAATTTGGACTGTGCTTGCCTTTTTATAGATGATAGATCGAGCATTTGTGTGTTGTAATTGGACATTGCTTGTATACTAATTTAAACCCTAATATATATATAGATTAGTAGTATGTTTCTTTAGCTGAGTTTCACCAGATTTTACTATTTGGACTCTGCGTTTTTCGAACAAAATATATTTTTTCCTTTCACAAAATATCTCATCAAACATTATTTTCATACCAAACTCAAATTGATTTTTTTCTAAACTTATCAAAAAGAAACACACCTTTTAGGTTTGTTTAAATTTCATTGTTTTGTTTGTTATTAGATATATATATATATATATATATTGTGGAATCAATTAGGCAATAAAAATATATCTTCAAACAATTTTTCAAATTTTATGATATCGTTTATTTCAAATTTTTTACAGCAAAATTACAAACTTTAAAACAGAAGTGCATCCGAAAATAAAGCTTGAATAGAAATTCAGGAACTTAATCATAGCCCCTATTTATTTTTAGGGAAATTGTAATTATAATTATATTCACAATGCAAAATAAAAATATTATACATAGGTATTTACATTTTTATTCTACAATAATCAAGATCATAGGTCCATAATTGTTTGTATTAATTAAAACAATTAAATAATATGATTGATTAAAAATAGTGACATCAACAATATGTCATATACATATATCCAAAATCGAGATATATATATATATATATATTTTTGAGAAAATTATGAATGTGTTACATTTATCCATTGTGAATGAAATATTTTCACATTCCACTTGTTCTTTTTGCAAAAATGAAATATTACTATTTTGCTTAGTCCACAAGTATGCATCATGTTTCTAACCCACTAATTTTATGCAATTTTTTTATTGATGGATTTGATTTCTCCTAAAAAATGTGCATAACTTGTCTTGATGTCCTATTAAATTACTTTGGGTTGTGTTTGGCAAAAACTTTAACAAATATTGATATTATATTGACAGTGGATAAAAATATTGGTAAAAGACTTTTTTGCCCTGGTGAGTGTAGTAGTATAAAAAGTAGTAACAATTGTGTAATAATAATGAAAAAATAAAGGTAATTTTATAGTGATATAATTATTTATGGAAATGAAACTATTGTTTTGAGACAGACAAAAATAGTAAACAGGACTATTGTATTGGGACGGAGGGAGTATAATAATATTCTATTTTACTTTTCCAAAATAATCTAAATTATAATTTTTTTCTCTTAAAAAAATATCTTAATATTTTTTTTTAATAAATGATATTTTTCTATATCTTATATAATTTACTAATTTAAAACATATTAACAAATACAAATTCAAATTTAACTAGCTTTATAACATATAACATCGTACATCACATTCAAAATTCTTTTATTTTTATTTTTTCTCAATAAATAAATAGTTATATATGCATTTAAAACTCCTTATCTTTTATAAAAATTAATTTATATTAAATGATTGACTTTTTTTGAATAAATAAGTATATAGTATATATATTGTTAATATATATTATAATTTTTAATAATATTTATGAGAAATTGATCTATCTAAAAAAAAAAAAGTGTACAAACTCATTAATTCTGCGTTTAAATAGAGATTTTTTAAAATTTTAAATTATCAAAAATATTAAAAAATAATAATAAAATTGAGTATTTTATATGACCTATTTAAAAATACTCTCATTCTACTCAAAAGTAAATGTTTTTCTTTATTATTATTTTGCCTATTTTACAAATGTCTATATATTTTCTACTGTTCCCTCCTCCAAAAAAAGATTATTTTAGTGTAAATATATAAACTTCATCAATCTCATATGAAATGTCTAAAATTTTTATTTATTTTTTTTATAATTTAATTTATTTAATTCAAGTTACTGTCTCTCTTCCCTCTATTAATTCAATATAACTTTTTTATTATTTTGACTTGTCTCATTCAAAAATATTATATTCTAATTATTTTATTTTATTTTATTTTATTTTATAACTACTGGAGTACATTGAGTTGAGACAGAAAAATTTTTATTTTATTTTATTTTTTTCTTTTATTTTCTTTTTATTCCCTTCATTCTTTCTCCTCCCTTTTATCTTCTCACTTGTTGTGTCAAGAGAAATCAAAAAAGGCTGTATGTAAAACTATATTTAAAATACTTTCTCCGTCTCATAATTATGTATCAATTTTCTTTTTACACGGGGTTTTAAAAATATTAATATTATATTGAAATATAGTATGAATAAAGCAGAAATAACTAAAATAACTTTATTAGTATTGTGCGATATAAAGGTAATGACATTTTTGTAATATTGTAAATTGTAAGGGTATTTATAATGTTAGGTAAACAGTAGAATTACTAAAAAAAAAAAGAAATAAATATTTTATTACAGGACGTACTAAAATAAAAAAATAAATAATTTATTATGAGACGGAGGCAGCATATAATATAATATAATAATAATAAATTATTCCACATATATGCTACTAAATGATGGTGCTCATTAATATTATTATTATATAATAAAGTGACTATAATAACACAAGCAATGAACATTAAGACTCCAAGATGTTGATCAATATCTATATAAAAATAAATAAATAAACTTTTGCATAAATATATATATAATATATATATATATATATTTATATATATCTTAAACAGGCAGCAAATAGGCATAAGTGGCACTGATATTATTTGGAGCAATTATAAAGCATAATTGTGATGGCACTTAAATGGAACTAACTCACAATGTATATGTAGCCACAAAACACCTGTCCTAAAATTGTTGCACCACAATAAAATTAATTAAATAAAATCCCTAACTTCAAAGTAAATATTTATGAAATAAAGTAACTTTTTTGTTACTATTTTATCAATTAAATATATCATCAAACTAAAGGGACTTTAATTATACTCGAGTTTTTTTGTACTCTTTTAGAAAGGGTCATTCATTTCACACACTACAATCTATAGTATGTTTGAGAATACATTTGCCCTAAAGTTAAAAATAAAAACAAGATTTTGCGTTTTCACTCCATTTATATATACATATTTTTTAAGACTAAAAATCATTTTTGTCCCATTCAATATCAAAATTATCAATTTTGGTCCCATTCAAAAAAAATTATCAATTTTAGTCTCACTCAAATGAAAATTTATCAATTTTAGTCCCAAAATGATTGACTGGGAAGGTGACTGGGCGTTCCAGGCAGCCAACACGGCCGTGTTGATTACCCTGCACTTTTGAACACGGTCGTGTTCCTGCCCGTGTTCTGAACACGCTCATGTTCCTACTCTTGTTCTCAACACAGCTATGTTCTAAACCATGTTCACGACCATGTTTTCAATATAATCATATTGTAGGTCATATTTATTATTTTTTTCACTTTTTGGTTAAAATTATTTGATATATAATTTAACAAAAATATTTTTTACAATTATTTTATAATATAAAAAAATAATCAATTTTTAATATTTTTAAAATTAATGTTGATCAATTTATTCTAAAAATATTTTATTAAATAAATAAATAAATGATCTTTAGGTGTTTACTATATAGACATAATAAAATAGAAGTTTTAAAAATAAAGAACATAAAAATATCAAAATAAAAGACAAAAGAAGGATCCTAAGGTGCACTGTTGACTTCAATAATAATCATTTTCTAATCTATCAATAAAATTATTAAATTTTATTGATTTGTAAATAAATAAATAGTTATAGTTATTGAAGAAGCCTAATAATTAATTCTTTTCTTACTTATCTCGTTTCTCTAATTAGGCTGGAACTACAATGATCCACAAATAATTTATTAGTCTAATTACTTTTCGAACTAGAAGAACATAATTTAATTTAATAATTTTTTAGGCAAAATTATTTACAATTGATTTTGTGATTTTTTAGAAGTTTTTATCTCGTGGTGGTTGCTACCTGAAACAAATTAAAATACAATTACCGACCCTCAATTTAGTTTAATAATTAATCTTTATTTCGCTTGTAATATCCACATTAAACTAAAAGATATAGAACATTGAAACTCGAAATCATAAAAATATTTATCTAACTTGTGTTTGTTCTGGGGATTTTTCTCAAACTTTACTATTCATTAAATTTTTTTCTTCCCGAAAAATTAAATCAAATACCTATTTCTTATTTTTTATATTATTTTAAAAATTAATTTTATATTCAAAACATTACACCTCACATTCAAAATTTTTACCATTCACATCCCACTCCAAAATTCAAACCCCCATACAAATAAATTTGAGCAAATCTAGTATAAAAAATTCATACATAGTTGTTTTCACTCCTAAACTAAAAAAAGTAGACTACTCACTAATTATGGGGAAAAGAACAAAAATAATAAAATTAAACATCGTCTAAGATTATCCGCTCAACGAAAAAGAATTTAAAAAATCTCCTTAGAAAAATCTTTTTTTTTTTGCGCCGGCACAATCTCCTTTTTATCCTAAAATAAATTCTTTTCCAAACTCCATCCATTTTTCAAAAAATATCTTCAAAACAAATATCTCTCACTTTAGTCATATTTGCATTTTTGCTACATGGGACTAGAAAGTCTAGAATGCAATTTTTTTCACTTTGACAACTTCTCTTGTTTTAAAAAAAATAATTATCCGTTGACACCAAACACAACATTTCAAGTCAAATTTATTATAACAATAAATATGAAAATCTAATGATATATAGAAATAAATTCTACTGAAGTAAAACGACAATTCATACAGAATTTATGCCTTATTTTGCGATGAACGAAATTTTGCATGAAAGTTTTTGTATGAAAATCCCTCAATAGAATAATATAATATAAATGAAACACAAACGTATTTTTAATGTAGCGGGCGCGCTGCATTTTCAAGTAAGTCTACCTATTGATTGTTGGAGTGAAAGCGTACTAAAAGCAAAATATATTATTAATTGAACTCCTAACGCACTCCTTGGTTTGAAAATCTCCCTACAAATTATTGCATGGAGAGCGAATATTATCTTACGGGGGTGTTTGAATGCTTATATTATGTTAAAAGTTTCATTGTAGTGAGGATAAGTAAACAATCGTTGAGATTGTTAAAAATTATGTTGGCTCTTCGACACAGTGTCATAGTCCCTCACCGCATTGTCCAAACATCAATCCATCTTCAGGTATACCTTATATTTCCACTCAATATATGAATTATGTTCAATTTTCTATAAAGCCAAAGATATTTCTGATTCGAATAATGAGTCTAGCAATTTCAAGATTGCCATTGGGAGATGTACGTTGGCGGAAGGCCATAAAGGATGAGATTGATGCCCTCGAGAAAGAATCAAACCCAGACCATTGTTGATCTTTCTCCGGGAAGAAAGCTATTGGAAATAAATGGGTGGACAAAATTAAATCATTCAAATGGGACAATAGAGAGATCTAAAACAAGATTAGTATATTTGGGTAATCATCGAGTTGAAAGAATTGCTTACTATGAGACCATTGCCCGGTTGCTAAAATGGTGATTGTTCGGCTATTTTTATTTGTGGTTGTTGCATGTAATTGGGATTTTCACCGGATAGATGTCCACAATGCATTCTTGCATGAGAAACTATTAGAATAAATGGTTATGAAGCTCCCTGTGACACCCCGGTCCACAAGTCGTGCAAAACCAGGCGTGTCAGAATCGTAGATTGCCCCACAGGTCAACACGAATTCTTTCAGCGCACTTTTATCTTCACTCACGCGCACCCTGGGAGACTCCCAGGGTCACTTATCCTCAAATTACTCTTAGAGTCCTTTTAGTAAGTCTTCTGAAAAGAATGTGCACATTGTTGACATGAGTAGTCTATTCAATCAATTTAATCTCTAATCAACTTCGAATGACTAAATATTGACTCATCCACGTACGAGAGTTGGCCAAGCAACAGCCCAACTCTGAAGGTATCACACCCCCGCCAGGCTTTTCAACATCACAACCTGGGAAAGTGTGTTTATTACGGAAGTCACTTTATTGATTGCGGCATGCTTCCAAATATTGGTTTACCAAACTTGCTAGTGCTTTGCAAGGTTATGGACTTGCTCACTCTCATGCAAATTATTGGATTTTTACTCTAAGGCGAGATTCTATTAACTTCATTGTCTTGATCAATGTTGATGATTTGGTTATTGGTGGTAATAATGGTGATGCCATCCAAAATCCAAAGATTATTTGAGTGGTTGTTTTCACAAGAAGGATCATGGATAAGTATTTTCTCAGAATTAAAGTGGCTAAAAATCAGGAGAGGATGCGAGAAACCTTTGAACTATCCAATGGAGTAAAAAAAAATGATCACGGAATGAAATGAAAATAAAATATGCCTAATTATATGCCAAAGGAAACAAAAATCCAAAGCACACAAAAATAAACTAAGAATCTCTTTCAAAATATATTGAAAACTTCAGCAAACTTTATGTGTTAATGCAACAGAACTAGATAAGAAGTTCTCGAAATTCAAGCAAGAATAAATAACAAAGTATACGAAATTTAAGATTAATGTTTTTCGGCTCACAGTTCACCTCAATCTTGTGGAATGTCCACATCGCCATCGGTAATCTCCTGCTGCAAGTCCTTGGGATCTTTTCCATCGACGGTGCATCCAACAGAAACACAGGTGCCGAGAATCTCCTTGACGGTGCCAGACAAATCCTTCGCCATGGAGCGAGGACTCATTACCTTAGCGATCTCGATCACATCATCCAGAGAGATATTGCCGCTGTGCTTGATGTTCTTCGTCTTCTTACGATCGCGCTCCGGCTCCTTGAGTGCTTTAATAACCAATGCGGCGGCGGAGGGTACGACGGCGACTTTGGCCTGACGGTTTTGGACGGTGAGCTTCACGGTGACGCGGAGACCCTTCCAATCCTTGGCGGTTTCCTTGGCGATATCTTCACCAATTTTTTTGGGGGAGAGACCGAGAGGACCGATTTTCGGAGCGAGCGAACTGGCGGCGCCAACTTCTCCGCCGGTGACGCGGACATAAACTTCGACGACCTGCGAGGGATCGAACTTCGGCGGCATGGCTGCTGTATCGCTGCTGCTAGGGTTTCAGAGCAAGAGAGGAAGTGTGGATTAGGGTTTTAAAAGAAGATTGTTCCTTTCTTGATCGGTTGGGCCTTGAAAGCCCATATATAATTTAAATGAAAATGAATAAATTAAATGTATTTATGTTAAAATAATGTTTTATGAGAAAAAGTATATAATTTTTTCAAACGCATTGTCAAATAATAAATTTTTTAATTAATTACTGATTACACTATCTTTTTAATTTATTATAACTTTTATTATTTATATTTATTTTAATTTAAAAATATCAAATCAAATTATTATTTTTTTATATTATATTATAAATTTATTTAAATTTAAAATATTACATCAATTATATATTTATATTAAAAATAATAATTAATAAAATTTAATTTTTTGCTATTAAAAAAAATTAAATCTAAAAACTCATACCCACAAACAAACACACCCTAATTTTGGTTAACAATAATAATAATAAATTGAATAAAATTAATTATTTGTTACAACATAAATTATTAATGCTATGATTTACCAGTAAATTTTTATTTTTTAATTAATAAAAAATTAAAAATAATTACTACTTCATCTGTCCCATGTAATATAAGAGTATTACTATAATTTAAGTAAAATATAATTAATAAATAATTAAAAATAATTAATGTATAATAAAAATAACTATATATTAAAATTAAAAATAACAATTTATGTAGAATTGATAAAATAAAAAATAGGACAAATTACGTGGACAGTGAGTAATACTCTCTCAGTCCTGCTACACATAACTCTTTTTTTTTTCTTTCCATTAGAGATGACTCTTAAACATATTTAACACATATATAAACGTATTTCTATCTCTCATCAATAAATAAATATTTTTTATCTATATTTAAAATTTTTTATTTTTAATAAAATTAATTTTAAATTAATTATAAATAAATAAATATATTTTTTTATTTATTTCTATTATATAAAATTTTATTTTTTATTAAATAATAATCATATTGTATACAATATTATTATATATAATGTTAAAAATATTTAAAATATCATCAAATCTTCGTATAAAAAATAATAAAATAATACCCGGCCCATATTATCTGCTGCAACATCTTCGAGATCGGATCGATTCCAAGCCCACCACCTACCGGTCAACTCAACTGTCCATACGCCGTCGTCGTCGTCGTCGTCTATATTCTCACTCCCTCTCCTTCGGCTTCAGTTTCACCGCCCTGCCCATGATTGCTGCACTGGGCTTCCACGTTTCTTGCTGATTAGCTTCGAATCCCTGACATTCTTTTGGGGTTTTTGCTTCCACAATGCCGTCCGATTACGATTCTTCGTCCTCCACCTCCCCATCCGAAATTGATGAGAAAAACCCTAATTCCACCACGCCCAATCCAGAATCGATCGATCAATCTCTCGATGCCATTGAGAATCAGTTGGCATCGATTTCAATGTCCTCCCGCTCGCCGGGGGCGACACTTGACGAAGAGGAATCGGAGCGAGATGAGGGAGAAGAGCAGGAACAACCGGCGGAGCAGCTGGATATCACGAACGGATCTTTGAGTGAAGAAATTGGAACGGAAGTGCCGATTGAATCAATCGAGGATGATCATGTTGAGCCTAGTGAAGAGGTTGAGTCTTCGGGGCCAATTAAAGGGAGCTCTTCCTTTGTCTGGAGGAGTACTTCCGAAGCAGATGAGATTGAGCGGCCATTGAGTCCAAGTAGCAGTGGATATGCTGGTGAGATGGGGAGCACTAGCGGCGGTGATGAAATCAATGATGATGATGATGATGAAAATGGAAATGGAACTGAGATCCAGGAGGTCCAGAAAGCTGAGGTTTTGGAGTCCCATGAACTTCGGACATCTGGGAAGCGCCACGCTGATGAGGTTAGTAGCTGGATTCAAACCCGCATTCCTCCTTCCTTGATCATTTGTCTCTAATTTGCTTTGGTGGAGTGAGAAAAATAAAAAATAAAAATTGCATGCTTTTAATCTGATTTTGCCTTGCAGGATGAAGTTTTGGGAATCTGTTTTAGTTTAGTGAGATTATCTTTCTAATTAGATTACTGTATACAGTGACAATAGGATTTATTTGCTTATGGTTAATGAATATACTAATGGAACCTCAGGATGACGCATCGGTTTCATGGCGGAAAAGGAAGAAACACTTCTTTATGTTGAGTCACTCCGGAAAACCGATATATTCAAGGTTTGTCAATTTTGTGGGCTCTGTATATCATGAATGAATGGTGCAGAAATGCTCTATGCATAGCCATAATCTGTTTAGTTTCGGTACACCTTTAATTTGTCGAAATTATAGTAGTGATTTTGAGACCCTATTTCTGGTTTTCACTATTGAGCTCTTAGACATGGGGATGAGCACAAGCTAGCTGGATTCTCTGCAACGCTACAAGCCATCATTTCCTTCGTCGAAAATGGGTGTGCAATTTTGACAGCTCTCTTTGATAGTATATGAGACTGCTTGATTTCCTTGATTTGCTCACTGATACCTTTTTCAGGGGAGATCGAGTCAAATTGGTTAGAGCCGGTAAACATCAGGTCTGTCTATCTCCTTCTCATTGAATTAGCTATCTATTTGTAAAATGCATCTGTACTTCTTGCATACTGGTTGTTCTCCTTCTGCCGCCTTGAAAATTTTTAAAAAGCCACTAATTGACGTGTTTCCCAGTTTATGGGAGTGAGCTTCTGAATTATGGTGATACAACTTGTCGATGCACTGTAATTATACATGTTTGTTAGCTGGTTGCATAGAAAAGTCAATATGAGCATTTTCAGTAGCTGAGGAAATAGCCTATATTGAGCAGATTTTAAGTCTGAAGCGAAGCTTCTTGAAGGTTATCTAGAGAAGAATAAATTTCATTATATCAGAGTGGTTAGATTAAAATCACACAGTAACTTCATTTACTGCATATTTAGTAATTGCATTTTTTTCTGATTAAAAAACTGTGAATATTTTGATTAGATTTTGTTCAATAATTGTGGATGACACCTCTTTGTATCATTTAAGAGGTTGACTAAGTAGCCGCAAGTACACTTATTCAGTCATCTTGTATCAATAGCTGAATTCAATGTAATTCTGACTTTTAAGTTTCCATACTTAAAATTTATGTGGAATCTATGTTTTCAGTTTGTTTTTCTTGTGAAAGGACCAATCTACTTGGTTTGCATTAGTTGCACAGAAGAGCCCTATGAATCATTAAGGGGGCAGCTAGAGCTCCTCTATGGTCAGGTAACTTTTCCTGTAATTATTAATTTATTTGTATTAATGATGATCTATGTAGTCCCAGACTTATCTTGATTCTTGGCTATCTATACCTTTTCCATGTTCAATGTTAATAAATTCCATATAATCCACTTCTTAGCTTATACTTAAGTTCATTTGAATGCAGATGATACTTATCCTAACAAAATCTGTAAATCGATGCTTTGAGAAGAATCCAAAATTTGATATGACATCTTTGCTTGGGGGAACTGATGCAGTCTTCTCTTCTTTGATCCATTCTTTCAGTTGGTAAACTTTGTGTATTCACTGTTTTACCTATTAAAGTAATTTTTAGTTGAGTTTGTTGTGTCATTCCTCGCAGCATCAATGCTCTAGCATAGATTTAGATATAATAATACTACAAAAGGCTAGTCAATTTCTATAATTCACTTTTAGTAATATGTCTTTGTTCATATATGTTATCAATATGCTTAATGCAATCTTTGTGTTCTCTTATTACATATTCTGCTTCCAATATCTGCAATTCTAATCTACATCATCTTTACAAAGTTTGTAATCTCATCTAATATCCCAAGTGACACTAGTACTAGTAAACTCTTTGTAACATTGGATAAAATCTTAGCCTATGAAGTTGTCAACATGTAACTGATGATGAAGTGCATGCTAACATGGGTTATAAATTCTATAACCTGTGCCTTCTAATGTATTGTTAGGTATGCTGTCACTTCTGAGTAGAAGGGACTAGAGTGAAAAATTAATCTGTTTTTAAGTGATTCATGACTGAACCATTCAGTTCAACGTGTACCTATTAATGTAATTTTCATTTATATCATTATTAAATTTTAAAATAAACGTGACCTTTCTGAAAATAACTTATTCAGTTAAGCTTAGAATAGAATCAACTTGCTTTTTGATCCAGTTCACAAGACTTATACATGCATTTACTATTATTTTTCTTTATCTTTTTACTATTACCGAACTAAAACTGTTAACTGTTCCATTTGTAGGAATCCTGCATCGTTTCTTCATGCATACTCATGCCTACCACTTTCTTATTCATCCCGTCAAGCTGTTGGTACCATCTTGCAAGATGTGGCTAGTTCTGGAGTACTGTTTGCACTCTTATTGTGCAAGCACAAGGTAGATATCCCAAGTTTCTTGCTACTTGAAATTCTTGTGCTACATAACCACCTAATTGTGGGTGTAGAAAAAGGTTTCTGGGACCATTAGTTTTTTCATAGAAAATGGTGATTTGTATAGTTATTCTATATATATGATTTTCGCAGCAAAGAATTTATCAACTGTATGTCAATGGTGTGCCTTCCTAACCCTTTCATTTTTTTAAACTTTCTCTGAAAGGCTAATTGAAACATATTGTTTGAAACTTTGAATTATTTTCCCCTGCTTAATTTGCTGGATAAGTTTCTCTATAGTTAAATACCTTGTTGAAACATATTGCAGGTAATCAGTCTTATTGGTGCTCAGAAAGCATCTCTTCACCCAGACGATATTCTGTTACTCTCCAATTTTATTATGTCATCTGAATCATTTAGGTAAGGCCGAGTTAGCTCTCACATCCTATCATCTATTATCTCATGGGCCAAGATGTAGAAACATGGCTTGATCTAATTTATTGGACACCTTTGTTCATTTTTCTTGTTTTGTTTTCCTTTGCACTATCATTATTTTGGTTCAATAGGACAAATACTATTTTCACATTATTTATGTATAAGTTATGCTCCTAACTATGTGAAAAAGTACTTGTAATGCATGTTTGTTGGTAAACTGGATGCTTTATTTAAGAAATTAAATATCACATGATAAATGCTTACTAATAAATTAGATTCTGGTGTGTGACAGATAATTGATGGAGACTAACCAAAAAATTGCCATTCTCTGGTCTCTTAATGTTATCAGGATGATGTAGGATTAGAAAAAAGAGTAAGATCGGTGGCTCGTCCTGATATAATCTAAATATTCTATAATTTGGAGATTTATATCTTCATCTGAACTTGAACCACCATATCTAAAAACTATTAAGCCTCTTAAGGGGCAATAACACCTTTAGAATGAGAGCGTTACAATTTTGCGTACAGTGGTAATTTTGAAGCTTTTGCAAAACAGCATAACCTAGCTTCTCCCAAAAATAAGTGAAGATATTTCTAATTTGTGAAAGAATTTTCACTTACATGTTCTTCAATTCCATGCAGGACATCTGAATCTTTCTCGCCAATTTGCCTGCCGAGATACAATCCAATGGCATTTCTATATTCGTATGTGCATTTTTTTGATGTAAGTAGCAGTGAACTGGGATCAAGTATAATTTTTCAGAAAAATATTTTCCATGCCTATATGAAATATCTCAGTGGAGGGAATTCTAGGAATTTGTTCCAATGGGATATTTGTTTTACTTGATGTGATAATGTCAAATCATCGCCTAGTTACCTACTTAACTGATTTTGTATCTAATCACAGATGGATACTTACCTTATACTGCTTACCACAAAGGCTGATGTTTTCTACCATTTAAAAGATAGCAGGTGAACCAGCATGCTAATGTCTATGTCTATAAAATGTCGAATCTGTTTGCTGAATTGGAAATGCATGATGCATCTTACAGGATTCGAATTGAGAGTGTACTTTTGAAGTCCAATGTACTAAGTGAAGTTCAAAGATCTTTGGTTGATGGTGGCATGCATATTGAGGATTTGCCAATTGACCCCACTTCTCGTGCTGGGTCGATACCCTCTCATCTAGGTTATCCCAGGTCTGCCTCAGGTTCTCCTGGAAGGCTAAGGGATGCGTTTGCTGGAATTGGTGGTCCAGCCGGACTATGGCATTTCATTTATAGAAGTATTTATCTTGATCAATATGTGTCATCTGAATTTTCATCGCCAATCAACAGCTTGAAACAGCAAAAAAGGTAATAAATAAATTAATGGCAACTCGTGGCCATGGCTATTTCTAGGATCAAATCCATCATTGAATGTTTCATATGGCTCCTTTATATGTCAGGCTATACAGGGCATATCAAAGGCTTTATGCATCCATGCATGGCAGTGGAAATGGACCCCACAAAACGCAGTTCAGACGAGATGAAAATTATGGTAAAAAATTTCACATTCCATCCAATGCTTCCCAGCTTGGACTTCTTGTAAATGTTCTTCAATTTAATTTTTCCGAGGCGGATATTCTTGGGGATTCCCAGTTTTGGGTAAACCTGTCTTCAGTCCTTATTCCCATTGTAAATGTGTTTTGTTTTCCAGTTTTTATGCCATTTACTAACCTAATTCTCAAGCATGAAATCAACTTCTCTGTTCCTTTAGCTGGTATATTAGAATAAGCATTTTGCCTCCCCGACATTTTCTTACAGAAGTACTATTACTACGCATGAGTACCTTTGCTGTTTGCTCCTTATTGTGCTGTTTCTGACTAATTAATTGACATCGCAGTGCTTCTCTGTTGGGTCACACAAGATTTCGAACTCTATGCAGCTTTTGATCCCCTTGCAGATAAGGTTTGATTATCCAAATTTATTACATTGTTTCAAGCTCTTATTACGAATAAATTGCAAAAATGTTCCATCTCTTTCCAGAATTCCTTTCACAGAATGTTCCATCTTCCATACTTTCATGTAGAATTCATTTGCTGCACATAATGTCATATTCTGTCCTCCTTCAGAGTTGAAACATTCATGAACTGTGTTTATGCAGGCTCTTGCTATAAAAGTATGCAATCGGGTTTGCCAATGGGTGAAAGATGTAGAAAATGAAATATTCTTGCTGGGAGCAAGTCCTTTTTCATGGTGATTCATTCCCTCTTATCGTGCAATGTACACCGGCCGGCATGTATGTATTCTTCTAGTCTTCTCGACCTAATTACTTCTACTACAGTTTTGCCTCAAGTTCGCCTAATGTTTTTTATGGGCTTTTATATATGCGTACTTGTATTCGACTTGCATTTGCATAGCTTGCTGCGCCGAATCTTGTTTATCAGAGTATGTATCGATCAATAAGCAGCCCTCACGTTTATTACATGTTCCCTACACCGGTTAGTGACGGTAATTGTGTTAGTTACTTTCCATTTTGTTGTTAGATTAAGTTGGAAACACCATGTCTTGTTTTTAGTTTTATTTTTTTTAGATCTTTCATGTTTGATTATCTGTCTCATCCATATTCAACTCGTTTTTGCTTCATGTTAATTCTTGTAGGGTTTGATTTTATATTGAGAATTTGATTTAGAGAACGCGTGTTCACTTTGTGTTTTTGGATATGTGATTATGTTAGATAAGGAGAAATATATTAATATTTTATATTGAATAATTAATTTTTTTGTAAATATGTAAGATATTTATTGTATTTGTTAGTAAATATTTATTGAAAATTATGTAAAAAAAAATTATTGGGTGAAAACATTAGTATATCCTATAAAATATGAACTTTCAGCCAGCGTTACCAGACTGTGACGATGAATGGTAATATACTACTAGACTATTGTTGTTATATATTAACATCTATAATTTATACTTAATTTAAGGCCTGACAATAATTCATGTTTTCTCAACGTTGGACCTGTTAATTTTTTTCTGAGTGATTTAACAAAGCATATATCCATTACCCAAGCTTATATTGGTTCAGAGTCGATAGCATATTCACCATCGATAATAATGATCCGACAAGCCTTCTATTTTTTTATTTTTATTGCCTTGATAATTAAATAAACCAAAGTTTTACCATGATCCAACCCTCAAGCGTACGGGGATTTAGTAATCCAATCTTGCTGCCTGTCGCCCCTCTCCTCTTTCCACAGCAATCGCCCCCAACTTTTTTTCTTGTTGCCGATGATCAATCTGAACCGACAGCAAGGATGCGCCACTTCTTTTGCATCAGGCGACTTTTCATCACGTTTATTTTTATTTTTTATATTATACTAAAAATTAATTTTATATTTAAAATATTATATCAAAATTTATTTATATCAATTATATAAATTGTGCTATTTTTTCAATTTTTTTTTTTTTTTTTTCTTTGCTTAGGTTGAAAAAGCTTCGTTTGAATCGAAGTCCCTCTAAAACTATATTCTTGCATTGGTGACCGTTAGACCGGTGAGGGCAGGTTCATATACACTGGAGTAGTTTCTCTAAAGGAAAATACAAAACGTTGAACCGGCGGTTCGAACCGCCGGTTCGAAACAGATTGGGCAAGTACAGTACAATTGGAAACAAGTCTTCTCTTTTCCGCGTGATCCCTTCCCCTTCCTCTTTACACTCTCCCTTCACTCTCTGATCGTTCTCCGACACGACCTCTCTTCTCGCCCTTCTCCTCCGCCGACTTCACACGAGCGATTCAGTCCAAGATTCCGAAAAAGTAAGTTGGCTCTCAGATTTGTGCAAAATTTGCCCCCTTTCCTTAATTCCTGCAGCCATTCCCTGTTTTCAGCTTTACTGGTCTTAAAGTATTCAGATACGGATGTTGTGGTTGTATTCCATAAACCCACATTCATGATGTGTGTCTCTGTGTGTGTCTTTAATCTGCGATGAGCCAGTTGGGGAAGTAGTGTTTGCATTGTGTTCTGAAAACTAGTCAAGGGTTTGTTGTCTGTTTTGCATATTACTGTTTGAAAGCCGTGCATTTTATTGGCAGTTTATAGAATATGAGCCAGACTATGCGGACGAAAGGAAGGATTTCCTCTCCCTTTCTTCCTGCCATTTATTATTTCTGTTCAACTGCCTTCAGTTTGTTTGTATTTTGCATTACTTTAGTCAAGTAACCAGCCAAACTGATGGGCTTCAATGGGTTGTGCTTCGGAACTTTATTGATATAAATGTTCCCCTCAGTTAATTGTGGATCCTCTTGTAAATACAATGTGGTCACAATTTATGAGTCAGTTATATTGCAAATTAGATGGATACGTGTTTATCTGCTCAACTTTGATGTTCTAGATATAAGATATTCCTAATAAAAAGGGTTATTCATCATGCAGATTTGAAGTTAAATAGCATCGTGGATCTTTGAAAATCGGTGTTGGATTGGACATGGGTGATAGGGATTTGGTAGTTACTCAAATTAGTGTTGGTGGGCTGGAAAATCATGTCACGGCCAAGATTCTTTCGGACTATTTTGAAGATAATATTGGATTGGTATGGCGGTGCCGATTGAAGACTTCGTCAACGCCTCCAGAATCATACCCAAATTATGAGACTGATCCGGAGATTCTGCAGAGAAAGAATGATTACGTGAAGGTTGAACCCCATGCATTTGTTCATTTTGCAGTTGCAAGTTCGGCAAAATTAGCAGTAGATGCTGCAGGTCATGGTAGACTTATATTGGGAAGAAAGCCATTGAAGGTTAGCTTGGGGCCACAAAATCCTCACAGGATGAATGAGTGGAGAAGAACTACAGCACCTTATAAGTTCTCAGATGTCCTCGTAGAGATTGGAGTTTTGAGGAGTCAAAAAGAGTTTTTGGTTGGTTGGAGGGGGGCTCATAGCGGGGTTGATTTTCTTGTTGATCGATTTAATGGAACATGCAAACTACATTTTACAAAGGATACTGCTTTCACCTTTAAAAGTGGAGCAAGACCAGCTGTAATAAAGTGTGATTTCAAGTTGGAGTTCTTGCCAAGAGAAATAATTGGAATTAAACATTACAAAAGCTATTCATCTTTGATAGTACTATTGCAGCTGGCTTCTTCACCATTGATTTACTATAGAACTGCAGATGATGATATTGATGTATCCGTGCCTTTTGATTTGTTGGATGATGATGATCCATGGATACGAACAACTGATTTCACACCCAGTGGGGCAATTGGTAGGTGCAACACTTATCGAATTTCAATTAGACCTCGGAATGGTTCACATCTCTTGAAGGCCTTGGATTATCTTCGAGAAAGGAGGGTACCAGTTGTTGATGAAGGTTCTGGAATGAAGCTTCAGGTGGAGGATGAGCCTGATTTTGGGTTGCCCATGCCGGATCCCTTTTTCTGTATACAGTACAAGGCTGACATATCCTTTGAGATTCTATTTTTGGTGAATGCTCTCGTGCACAAGGGGATAATCAATCAGCATCAGTTGTCTGAAGAGTTTTATGATGTGTTGAGGAATCAAGCTGAGGAACTCAATGCAGTTGTGCTTAAGCACATGTGTTCCTATAAGCGTCCTGCTTATGATGCTCTCAAAACCTTGGATCTCCTAAAAACGTGGCTTTTAAACAATCCTAAGATCCTTGAGAGATCTCGGGAGATGAATGATATTGCTGAGGTTCGAAGATTGATCATAACTCCATCAAAAGCATACTGCCTTCCGCCTGAGGTGGAACTTTCCAATAGGGTTCTAAGAAATTACAAACACATGGCTGATCGGTTCCTAAGAGTCACTTTCATGGATGAAGCTATGCAGACCCTAAATAAAAATGTTCTTGAATATTATCCTAGTCCCATTGTGAGGGACATTACCAGAAACACAGCTCCCCAAAAGACCACTATGTTCAAGCGGGTAAAGGACATATTAGTTAATGGATTTTATTTGTGTGGTCGGAGGTATTCTTTTCTAGCATTTTCAGCAAATCAACTCCGGGACCGCTCAGCTTGGTTTTTTGCTGAAAACAAGAACACTGGGGTGGCCAACATCAAGAGCTGGATGGGAAAGTTTACACAACGGAATGTTGCAAAGTGTGCTGCCAGGATGGGCCAATGCTTTTCTTCTACTTATGCTACGATTGAAGTACCATGCAAAAAAGTCAATTCTATGCTGGGTGATGTTGAGAGAAATGGCTATGTTTTCTCTGACGGTATTGGTATGATATCAGACAATCTGGCATCAGAAGTTGCTGAGAAACTGCAGTTGGGCACTAAGTCTCCATGTGCTTACCAAATAAGATATGCAGGCTACAAAGGTGTGGTTGCACGTTGGCCACAGAAAAATGATGCATTCCACTTATTCCTAAGACCGAGTATGAAGAAGTTTGATTCAGATCACACAATGCTTGAGATTTGTTCTTGGACTCGGTTCCAGCCGGGTTTTCTAAATCGACAGATAATTACACTACTCTCAGCTTTGGAAGTTCCGGATGATATTTTCTCAAGGATGCAAGATACTATGGTTATGAGACTTGATGAGATGCTTGAGGACACAGATATTGCCTTTGATGTTGTTACTGCTTCATGTACTGATCAAGGGGATACAGCAGCAATAATGTTAAGTGCTGGTTTCAGTCCTCGGGTTGAGCCTCATTTGCGGGGGATGCTGACAAGCATCAGAGTTGCTCAGCTTGGAGACCTCAGAGAAAGAGCTAGAATATTTGTTCCCTCAGGAAGGTGGCTGATGGGATGCTTGGACGAGGCTGCTGTACTTGAACAAGGCCAATGCTTCATCCAGGTTTCGAACCCTTGTTTGGAAGATTGTTTTGTGAAGCATGGATCACAGTTTTCTGAGACAAAGAAAAACCTTCAAGTTGTCAAAGGCCTTGTAGCAATTGCTAAGAACCCTTGTCTTCACCCTGGCGACGTTCGGATTTTGGAGGCAATTGATGTCCCACAGCTGCATCATCTCTATGATTGTCTTGTGTTTCCTCAGAAGGGTGATAGACCCCATACGAATGAAGCTTCTGGGAGTGACCTTGATGGTGATCTCTATTTTGTTACTTGGGATGACAATCTCATTCCCCCTAGCAAGAGAAGTTGGCCTCCCATGGAATATGCACCTGGAGAAGTCAAACAGCTCTCGCGTGAAGTTCGACACTCGGTAATAATCTGCCTTCTATTATTCCAGGTCCTCAAATTGGCAACTTCTATTGATTGAAGCAGTCAGTAATTATATTTTAAATCATGTTGATTCTTCTGTCATTCTATGTTGGAGTTTATGATTTTGATTCTTTATCCACTTTGGAGTAGTTTGTCTGCTCCTCAACCTTCAGAATTGTATTGCAAAGTGTCTGATTATAAGAATAAATCGTGTTAGGTTATCTAACATACGGCACATCCTAAGACAGCAGTAACGCATCTTTCTGTTTGTTCTATTACTTAGTCTTTATATTCACATTGGTATGTCATTGTTTTATCAACAAAATAGTGTACTAAATATTGACCGACTTACTTTTATTCAGGATATAATTGAGTTTTTCACAAAGAACATGGTGAATGAAAGTCTGGGTGCTATCTGCAATGCTCATGTTGTTCATGCCGACCTTAGTGAGTATGGAGCGTTGGATGAGAAATGCATCAAACTGGCAGAGCTTGCAGCCACAGCTGTTGATTTCCCCAAGACTGGAAAAGTTGTAACCATGCCTGGCGAACTCAAGCCTAAGAGTTACCCAGATTTTATGGGTAAAGAAGAGTTCCAGACATACAAGTCGGGTAAAATTCTTGGTAAGCTTTACCGGAAAATTAGGGACTTGTATGGAAGAGACTGCTGCGAAGCCGAGGATACGATACATGAAAGGGACACCGTTGTGTATGATGAAGAACTTGAGATTGCTGGGGCTGAAAACTTTATAACCGATGCATGGAATTGCAAGCTATCGTATGATGGACAGTTAATTGGTCTTTTAGGCCAATATAAGGTGCATGGTGAGGCGGAAGTTGTTACTGGGCATATATGGTCAATGCCCAAATATAGTGGCAAGAAAAGGGGGGAGTTGAAGGAGAGATTGAAGCATGCATATAGCACCCTGAGAAAGGAGTTCAGGAAAGTATTTGAGCGGATGGGCCCTGAATTCGATGAGCTCTCAGATGATGAAAAAAATGTGATGTATGAGAGGAAGGCGTCTGCCTGGTACCAGGTGACCTATCATGAGATGTGGGTGAAGAAGTCGAAGCAGGTGCTGATGGTAGAAGGTGGTGGGTCGGTGATGTTGAGCTTTGCTTGGATTGCTGCTGATTATCTGGCTCGGATTAAAATCAAGCACAAGAGGATGGAAAACTCGAAGAAGAAGAAGAGTTTGTGGGTGTCGGACAAGCCTGTGGATGCTCTGGCAAGGTATCTGGCAGATAAAATCTGAGATGAGGTGAGATCCTTTTTCTTTTTTTTGTAATCTGAGATGAGATGAAGAAATCGCAGTCATGTGCATTCGGGTTGTTTTTGTTTGAGGTGGGGATTGATTATTGAGTGAAATTTGCAGTTATTTTGAGCTTTGGTTTATGTTGGAAGTTAATGAATAGTACAATGTCGAGAATTGGTTATTTGATGCTCTGATGTAGTTGATGATATGAAGAAATCGCAGTCGTGTGCATTCTGGTTGTCTTTGTTTGAGGTGGGGATTGGTTATTGGCTTTATTCAATTGCAATAGTGTCTCAACATTAATTCTTGAATTGAGTGAAATTTGCTGTTTGTTATTTAGTTTAGGTTTCTATGGGAAGTTAATGATTAGTTTTGCAATGTTGAAAATTGGTTATCTGATGCTTCGATGTAGTTGACGATATGAAGAAATTGCAGTCGTGTGCATTCAGGTTGCCTTTGTTTGAGGTAGGGATTGATTATTGGCTTTAGTCTATTGCCGAAGTGTCTCAACATTGAGTCTTGAATTGAGTGAGTTGCTTACGAAATTCGGTTAAGGGTTTTTAGTTTTACTGGAAAATTTTGTCATTTAATAATATTTTGGTATTTGAATTTATGTTGATTCTAGTACAGGCATGACTGATAATTCGAAATGTCTGTTAATGAACTCTGAGCCCGAATACGGTTGGTACCTTTTACTTTATGTATTTAATGAGTTAGTTTAGAAATTCTTCGTGTAGATTCAAAGCGACTTCTATTTAAGGTCAATTTGTATGTATCTGCCAATTTCTTATTAAATACTTCGACGGATTCTTGTCATTACTTTACTTGTCTCTCTCCATTGGTTCAAATCTAAATTCTTTTTCTCTTCGCCTTTCGATTTTTTTCAGGAATATGGCTCTCATTAGCGGAGGAGGAGATCATCCCTGACCCTGGTTTTTCTGGTTCTACAATATATTTGTATCAGTCGGGAAACTTACTTTTGAACTTCACCAATTCATAACCATAATAGAATGTAGTCTTGATGAAACATATAATACGTAATACATGAATTGACGAAGCCATCAAAACTTCCTTAACTTCTCATCTTCATCTGTATATCATGACTGTGTTATGCATCCAATTGTGGGGTTTGGATAGACGGTCAATTTATTACGTATTATAGCTTCACATCCATTTTAGTTTTCTTTTTTGTGGTCTTGAAGCAATCTCAGAGTTGATAAAATAGGATCAGCAACCATCCTATCATATTTTGCTGAAGGTGAGAAATATTGTGTTGCCTTGAAACTTTTAATAATCAAACAGCAATGCTGCAAGAACCCAACGACTCTAGGCCCGGGGGAGCTGGAAAAGTTGAAGAAATTGATGATTCCAGGCTTGCTGCCATTTTAATGGCAGTTCATGGTATGCACTTCAACTTTTTCTTCTTGGTTATTCAAAGTTTCTCTCTTTTTGTTGCACGATATTGCCAGATCAAAAGCCTGTTATTGCAGGGAATTAAGGTAGAAACTTGTGATCTCTTGAAGGATCTATCCTTGGCTGAATAAACTCGAATCGAAACCCTAGATGTAGATCTAGATTGTCTGATTGTTCTGTTTTCGTTCTTGAATCCCGGACAGGCTATGTGAAGTGAATGTGATACATAGATACTGTATTTGTGATATTCTGTGCACAATATCACTTCTTGTTTGTACTGATTCTGCTCTCCATCTCCAAGACACTGTAATTTCTGAATTTGATTCTTCAAGTTTCGTTCTATGCTCTAAATTTTACGGTCTCTGTGAAAATTAACTTTACAGGAAGCTTGTCGACAAAGTCTGTGCTGCTGGATTTCTTCCATGGAATGGCTTAACAATGTCACAGCCCGGTAAGCAATCAATCCCTCTATCCATTGCAAATTTTATTCTTATTCTGATTCTAGCTTGTCCACGATCGGCGAAAATGTTTAACCATTACTATATTCCCGGGATCATACTATACGGCATTCGACTAACTTTTCAGGATCAAGGATTTGAAGAAGCAAAGCCCGTTATCGAATCTGAGACTAAAAACATAAAATTGGCCATTTCTGTCCTAATATCATCGTATTTTGTCGTGGAACTGGCCGAGAACTGGTTTGTCTATGCTGGAGTGCTTCTGCATTCTTCCTTTGTAACTGTTGAAGACATTCACGGTAACTTTTGAACATCGTTATTATCTGCACAAACATCATAGTATCGAAAGTGTTGCTGAAATCTCAAACAACAATGGCCATGGCCACCCAATTCGTTCAGACTCTAGAAACCAATGTGCTATATAAAATTATATCATGTACCGATAAAATTATACTCACTTCGTCCGTTTTTAAGAATCATATTTACATTTTGTATATTTTTGTAATTTTTTTTTAATCTGTACTATATTTTGTTGTAATAATTAATATTTAAATATTTTATTATAATAATTAATATTTAAATATTAATGTCAAAAAAATAAATGAGACTTTAAAGCAGTGATAGTATATTGTATTGTATCAAAACATGCAAACCATGAGAGAGAACGTACGGCAACATTGCTAAGAAAAGCGAAGCATTATGGGAATGAATATGGAAAAAACAAGAAAAATAGTTGGAGCAAAGTGGTCAATTCCTAACCACCCATCGAATTATTACCATGATGATATATATATATATATATATATATAAATTTAGTTCAACTGAATTAATTAAAATTATATTCATTTGGGAGAGACAGTCGGCAGTTACGTTTGGTTGTGTTTTTTTTTTAAAAAAAAAAGTAATAATTAAATTTTGAATAGTAAAATTTTAAATTAAAATTATTATTTAATATAATATAAATAAAATTTTGAATATAAAATTAAATTTTAATACTCTTTAATACTATAAACAATAAAAAATAAATATATAATTTTATATTTTTTTTAAAAAAAAATAAAAGTAAAAAACCTACAAATACTCGCAACCAAGAAAAAGGTTGTGTGTATGTATGTATTTGATTGATTGATCTATCCATCTATCTTTGTAAAGTTTTAAGGCAAAATTATTTATAGTCATCACTGTTTGAAAAATCGGCACCATACTCTTCTATAATTTAAAAACTACATAAAGTACCACATATTTTTAGAAAATATTGTACAAAATTCTCTAAATATTATGAAACTCTCTTGCATTTGTAAACAAAATATTGTGTAAAATCTCTTAAATATAAATCTTGTGCAATGTTATAAAAACACAGAGAAGTCTCATTCATTTTAAAATTATAAGAGAGAATGATGTAGAGTTTTTTAACTAGGAATGAATCATAAGTAATTTTGCCAAGTTTTAATGCTCGATCTCACTCCCCACTTATCCCATTCATCTCTTCTTTTTTTTTATAAAGTGAAAATTCGCAGCCGCTATCCGAAAGTGCGCATTGGATAAATCTCTTTACCGAATTTAATATTCTACAAACTAGGCCGACAAGGCAAGTCAGAGTAAAACCATTTTCTTTTTTATATATTGGGATGGGAGTATGGGATGAAAGGTGAGGTGAAATGGTCCATAAATTCACACAATAAAACAAGAGAGGGTGAGGTGGGGGGGGGGGGGGGGGGGGGGGGGGGGGGGGGGGGGGGGGGAGGGGGGGGGGACAAAGTGGAAGAATGTTAAATCCATCAAAAACTTTGTAAGGAAAAAATAAAAGGTATAAAATAAAGAGCTAGCTAGCTAGCATGCAATTTGACTTTGGCTCACCTCATCATTATAGATATATATATATATATAACTATTTGCATTATATGACATGACATGAAAGGAGGGAAGAACAATATATTGTTATGTGATGTTGTCTCTTCTTCCAATTATGTGATCGTTCAATGAAAAGAAATCTTTTTGTGACCCTTTTGTTTTTTATGCTCTCTCTCTCTAACATATATATATATATATATCATTCACACACGGAATTATTACAGTGTTTATTTTAAAAAAAAAAAAAAAAAAAAAAATCAAACTTTTTCAAACAATACAATTCAAGATTTTAGAGAACATTGATTGAAAAATTTACGTACCGATCAAAAGTTCAGATAAAATATGTTTTAGATATAGCTCATGTTTTTTCATGGTCGATGTGTTATGGACTCTTAATCGATGCTTTTTTAGACTTCTCATTGGTGTTATTTGAAAATACCATCGTGATGTCATATACTCCCTCCGTCCCAATAGAGTGATCTTGTTTATCTATTTTCGTCCGTCCCAAAACAATTCTCTTTGTTTTCTTATTTAGTAATCGTGATCTCCACTTTATAATAAAATTATTCGTACTTTTCCAAACTACCTATAATTATTACTCTAACTTACTTTTAAAATCATTTAAAAAGTAAAGTATTTTAGTCTTTTACCTTTTACTTTATATCAACTTTCAATTGAATATTATTATTTCTTAATTTTCGTACTCACTCTCAATGAGACATCTTTTTTTGGACGGAGAAAGTATTTTATAGAAATGTGAAATAAGTGTTCTTAATTCTTGTGATGTATTTGTAAAATATTAATAGAAATGATGTTCTATTAGAATTTTGAATCGGTGTTTTCAAAACCCTCAATCGATGTTATTTAAATAAATCAGCACCATAATTTAAAGGAATTGCTATTTGTGGGTTCATAATGTAAATTCGTAATGTCATTCTTTTGGATCATCACATTCTATTATTCTAAGTATATTTACTTTCTTAAAATTTCAAGTTTATGGGTACTTGTAACCTTTTCTTTTCCTTTTGAAGTAAATAGTTATTTGATATTATTATTAAAATAAAAACTAATATTATAATATATTGAAAGAAAAATCAATAAATTGAAAAGTAAAAAATTAATGTGTGTAAAATTAGTTACAATGGTATATTTACTAACAATTCTTATTTATTTATTTTGTAAATAGTTTTCTAACCATGATTGAAATTTTATTGATCAAAAAGTCAAAATTCTTTCCTCACTTTCACTTTTTCCATGGAAAGTCAACTTTTGTGAGAGATAAGTGTGGGAACAAAATCTAAAATTTAGTCCAAATATCTATTTTCGCATACATACTTTTAGAAATTAGATATTATTCACCAACAATAATATTATTTAACTATCAAGTTAAATATTTTCAAGTTAAATATTTGCGTTGTTCTTCTAACACTAATTTTCAATTGCGATTCTACAAAAATAATAATAATAAATATAATATTTTATACAAAAGTTAAAATATCAAAATACTTATTATAAAAAGTAAAAAAAAAAATCATTACAACAGGCCAAAAAGTAAAAAATTCAATCTAAAATAATATATCTTAATACTTTTCACACAATTCTCTGTGCCGCACACAAAAAATCATTGCGTCTAAAACATATTAATACAAAATATCATATTTTCTTTGACAATATCAAATATTTATTTAAATTATATCAAGTATTCAATATTCTACTAATGAATTTTTTTATCTAAGTAGAGCTATATTTGAGCCATTTTGTTTTTTCGGTTTCATTAAAAGATTTCTCACTTAAAATATTATCTTAAATAGTGAAGGTTTGTTTGGTTTTGATTTGAAACAAAATCTTCACTATTCCGTTCATACGATTTTCAATAAAATTAAATTATTTTATCTCAAAAAAGATCATATTAGAATACTATTTAAATCAAAATTCAGAAAAAAGTTCAAAATTCAAATCTAAGATCAAATAATCCTTAATCTCCATTTAAAATACCACATCAAACTATTATTTTTATTTTTAAAAAATAAATAAAATAATCAATTCAAAATCATTTAAAAAATAAAAATGTTATAGAATGCATATAATTAGAGTAAAACAAATCCTAGTAAGATTCTCAAAATCTTCAATGTTAATTTGAAATGGGGCCATTTTCAAATATCAATCAATAATGTGATTAAGCTTTTTTTCACACTTTATAATAAGTAGAGTAAAGCAAATAATTTAATGTATTTCTAAGTAAAACTTAGTGGTGATTCAAAAAGCTTGGAATATTGGAAAAAAAAAAAAAAAA